AATGTTACATCAACATTTCACTCGAGCGTGTGTCTGTTTCTTGTGATCATGCTTACAGTAATGTATGTGTAATCAATTTGACTTTTAACTCGAACAAATTTTATGTCCACTTCCAAATTTAAAAGCGGATTAAGTTTTTGTAAACTTATAGACGCGCATTCGTGAAATCGTTGAAAGTTGTAACGGATTCGGCAAGGTGTCCAATCTGAAAAATGTTTATTTTCTTGTTACAAGTTAGGTCCTGTGGTCAACTGACAAAGATAAGAACTATGTATGTTACTTTCATAATCACGCATTTTTTTAAAGGACAAATAATCTTACATTGTTGATTTTCTGACTGGACTTGTCCCAACTTCCACTTTGAAACAATTTTAGGGATCATATCGATATGATAATATTGAAAGTAGATAAGTGTATAGCCTTGCAAGACTTCACGGATGTCATGCCATTCCCGCTCTGTATTGTATAAGGCGTATAAAAATTAAACTTGTCATAAGAATATTTCTAGTATTAAATTTGTTTTTTAACTTTGTTGTAATAATAGTCGCCTAATTAACATAATTTGTTTAATTTTGATTCCAAAATACTACATTATGCTTTTTGAATATCTTAATTTAACCATAGACCTGTTTTAGCATGTAATATGATAAATAAAGACATTTAATTAAGTAAACAGACAGCTGTAAAAGTATAATACATTTTTGACAGGAAACTTCTTCATATAACAGATGTGTTAATATGCTTTTAATCTCTAGACCATATCATATAGTTGTATTTGTTTGCATTTAGTCTCTTAACCAAATTATATAGTTGGTAATTATATGTATTTAATCTCTAAGCAAAAATAAAGTTGTAATTGTTTGTATTTAATCTCTAAACCAATAATATATAATTTTTAAAAAATCAAATTTCACAATTGGACTGTATGCATTTAGATATAGAATGCTTGAATCTATAAAAACTCTTCATAGAACTTAAATCATTGAATAATTTCGAAACTTTTCACAATAGAGCTTGAAAAGTAACTTGTATTTACGGTTCTTTTAACTTGTTTTATTCCGATTGTAACTCATCTGGGCACTAAGATACAAATTCAATCTTAAAATATTTTGAAATGTTAAAAATATGAACGTTGTTTGTTCTAGTGATCCTTCTTTTCTGAAGTAAAGCATGTCACGTTTATGCTGAATTTAATCAAGACAAATCTGCATGAAACATGACATTATTACTCCTTCAAGGATATAACCTTTCCACGTATGTTACGCAAGAGTTGTTTTTTTCCAATGAAATTGCATAACTTTTTAGCCTTACAAGAGTAGTAAATTTCAACACAGTAGTATAAAGTCACTAAAATGTAAATTTATTGTTTTATTTGAATTTATTGTAAAATAATTTCGAAAGCATGCAAAATGTCTTACGTAAGTTGCAATTGCGTACATACCCTGGTGCAATATAAAGTCTTATATCTATAAAAGAATAGGTTCCTGGGAGCAGAAAAATAAATATCGTTCACTTTTTATTGATGTCTCTCTATATATGTGTTGTTCTTTCTTTTTCAGACACTATTTTCATGGCTTTATACTCAGCCACACTGATATAGTCAAAATGTTTTTTGTCAATATGTTTTTAATTGTACAGTTCGGCATCTAACAACCAAAGCTGTTGCTTTCCCCTAACCTTTACAAACGCACACACAAACATACTCAATGAAAATACAACCATAAAAGATAAAAACAAAAGAAGATACAAAAACCAAAATTAATGTTGTTATTAGGCAACAAATAAAGCCACAAAATCAAACATGCTAATAATTATACTCAAAAAAGAACGTAACGTCTGATAAGTTAATATGTATTCAGACTAAAACATGGAAATTTCTGTCTGCTTGTTGCATTTAATTCAAGCTGAATAGATCAACATGTCAGTTGTTGTACATATCTTAATCTCGTGTCCGCAAATATTATCCACATGGCATTTAAAGGAAAGCAAGCAAACAAAACATAAGATTTGACTTTTTTACATAGATCAGCTGCTGCACTTAGAGCAGAATGATATGCAATTATAGATAATTAGGAGATATATTGAAAAGATAATTGAAAATCGTATTTTTGTGCAAGTAATATCCTGATTTAAGTGAGAATCGATGCAACGCTTTTCATTTCTGGGCCAGATTTTACAAATTGGAATATTATGCTACAAAAATTAGAGTTCTTAAAATTAATTTACAGTGGGTAAACGTATCCAATGTCTGTGCCGTGAGAAATCACACAATTTGAATTTAGCTAGCAAAAAATAATATTGTGATCGGGAGTACAATAGCTTGTGCTCCAATTAAACCGTAAACATTAGCTTCCGATTACCATCTGCGAAGTGACTTTGATCCCACCGACCACAAACCCCATGATCCATGCAAAGTACTAACTACTTTCTAGTATGCTGGCCCAGACGCTATGCAAACCGATCAATGTAGGGAAAGAACTAATGAAAGGCCAAACAGCAACTTTATTCAACTCCAATATTTTCAATTCCAGTGGAATAAATGGAATACGGTTGCATCAGCAATTTCGTTATAGTGATGAAATATGGGTATGTTTGTTTTTGTATTTGTTGTTTTGGTGTTGTTGGGTTTTCCGTGGTACCAACACAGTATAAGTCGTATGGCAACGTTGGAGGATAACCCGCGCATTATTTCAGGCACGAACGGGCATACGAGTAGAATCACCAGCGTCCTTAAGGAATCTGGATACAAACGTAAATATTCAAATGGATAATAAAAACAGACAAAAAATGGTTGACACAATTCTTTTATTTTATGTAAACATTATTCATATTACTCCGTACGCAAAAAAACAACATGAAATTATCCGAAACTTTTACGTTTCTGTAATTACTGGTCCCATGTTTTATAAAGCACAAATAAAATAAATATCTTTCTCACTCACATGTAAAACTAAATACCTTTAGTGTCTTAGAATTAAAAACAAAAACTTATGGAGCATCAGTCTAAATAAAAAGATCATTAAAAAAATACACTTAAAAATAAATGGAAGTAGTTCAATTTGAATAGATTTATTTCTAAATTCAAAATACATGGATTTTAAATTTTCTGATTTCAGACGAACAGACAGCTCACGTAAAAATGTGCATTCCCTGGTTGATAAATAACAAATATATAAATCCTGTGCTTTTTTAACAAATGCTGCGGCAGACGACACAGAATAAATGCTTTGATTAACAAAAAAATGTAATATACATGCAATGAATATAAATATCAAACTGACATGGTCTTTCCTTTAGATTAATTGAAAATAACAAGTATGGTACAGAGAAAAATAACAAAATTGATTAAGTAAATGAATACTGACGGATTACCTTTATTACCCTTAAAGTGTGTAATCTACTAGTCATACTTTCTTTTGATTTTTGATGACAAGAACATATAAATTGTCTATTTCACATCAATTCAAACAATAAATATTATATAAGTCACAAGATATCTCAATCATTTGAAAAATATGATTTCATATGGACAAATGTGTATTTAAAACATGATTTAAAACATGATTTCACACACGGACAATTGCGTAATGGAAGTGTTTATGAGGATTGCATATTAATCAGAATCTCAATTTATTGCGCACATGATGGGTAATTAAGCTAAAATTGGAACAATGTATATCAACTTTTATAAGGTCATTGAAACAAATGTTAGAATTTTAGATTTTTTGGTACTATCTCAAAACAAAATTAGCCTATCAAGCAAGAAAAAAATATAACTGATATAATTTACTTAATATTGTATTTACATCTATGAATATGTGATGAAAACAGGCTGAGTTTAAAAAAACCAGTGCTCTCAGTAGCACAGAACATGGCTTTTCTCAGTGCATGATAGTAAAATAAGAAAATAATCTATGAATTTACAAAGAGGAAAATGTCATTCAAAATTTATGACAGACTTATAATTGTTTAAGTTCACTAATGTCTAAGTGTACTAAAGGTCATAATTCAGTCAAGGGACATACTAGAGTTACAGGTCTTGCAAAGTGGCATTCAAATATGATCCTGTAGACATGTATTTAAAATCCCGAATGTATACATATAGTAACTTTAAAGATTGTTTTTGCATGAAAAACTTTAACCTTTTCTCTCATATAAGCGTGTTTCGACGGCTTTTTTGCCCCCCCCCCACCCCTTTTTGAGACATCAAACAGTGAAAAAATGGCCTATTTAGGCCCCAAACACTGGTTTTCGTTTGAGAAATGTTGTTAGAAAAGTGACCACTTTTTCGGCGCCGTCCCCCAGCCAAATATTACATCAGGGGGTTGCTAGAAGGGGGATTTGAAGGGGGCGGAGTCCCCCTCATCGCCAAGAAAATTTAGGACATGTGACAGGCTAAAAATGGCCTCAGGTCGATCTTAGGGTAACTAGTAACCGACGTTGAAAAGCCTTTTACTCTATCTCAATTCATTGAGAAGTTGCAGCACTTTGAAATCAGTTTTGATGGAAAAAAACAATGCAAAATAGTGATATTTGGCAATTTTGAGACGTCCCCCCGTTGCCATGGTAACAGGAAATTTACGATTGAGCATGCTGTTACAGAGGCTATGGTGTAGTCAACATTTGTGCCTTACCATGAAATTTACGATTGAGCATGCTGTTACAGAGGCTATGGTGTAGTCAACATTTGTGCCAAGTTTCATCAGTATTGAAGCATTTTCATAGTTTCATAGCAGTTTGAACTTGTTACAGGAGGCTTTTCAATAAAAACGGCCATTTTTCGCAATATGCTCATGGGATAAAAGGTAATCAATATTTCATATAAGTTTACAAAAGGCCATAATTTGATCAACCTCTATGCCAGAGTTATGGGTCTTATAGTAAGAGAGCCACACTATTTTTAACTAGTCACTATAATGTAAAATATTATATTTTTACTTTTTTTAAATTAATTGTCATTAAATTGTCGTCTCTTAAACAATGACAATATGACTTTCATCCGTTAAAAAGAGTAAAACTAAACATATAAACTACTTTAACTGGCTACCTTATTTAGGAAAAACATAAGCCCAAGTGACCTCTTTTATACCAAAATGTCACAAAATTATAAATAAATATTTCCTTTTTGCTAAATAAATGGTATGTACATATACATTTGTATAAAAAGCACAATTTATATATACATAAATAAAATCTACATACATGTAATATAACAACTTATAAACATGATTATCACAGTTATTTTGGTTCTTTCTAGATACTGACTTTACTACTTCACTTCTCATTTAGTAGCATGAATTATTTAGACAAGTTGCAATAGAATTACTTCCAAATGCTAAACACTTGAAAAGACAACCCTTAAATACTTTTGGGAATACAAAGTAAACAAGAGAATCATCCTAGTTATAATCGTGAAATGTTAAACCATAATCATCGATGATTTCTAGTAATGATCAATTGAAAACATTTATCTAAATCCAATAACAGCATCGTCTCTAAGCGAGAAAACATTGCCTTGTCAAAATTATAATTGTTACAAACGACGACTTTCCTTTACTTTGACATATAATCTGTAGAAATAATTTGTACACGCACATATATCATTTTCTTAAAGAGAGACACAGTAATCTAACGAAAACAACATCATTTGTCATGGCAAGATTTCAGCTGCAGTAAGTGAATTAATAAAGTCAACATTCAAAATGGCCGCCGCTGCCTAAGTCCATACAGTTTGTTACTAAACATAGAAATCGTTACTAAATATAGTAAATATGTTACTAAATATAGTAACATATTGTCATCAGGATGAGGATTTGATTGGAGAACTTGTTCTAGATCCAAATGTACCCAGTGGAAATTTACTCTGCATATCTAGTTCTTCTTGTAGCAATGCACATTTCTGCTGCAGAGACGAGATTTGCGATTTTAAAGATTCTATAGTGCTGTCAAGTTCCTACAAAACAGAATATTCAAATATATAAAAACAGAATTACAATAAAAGCCAATATATGCTTTTACAGCAGTCCAGAAACATATAAACAATATTCCAATTACTCCCCATTCAATTACCAAGCATATTGGTACTAAATTACTAAAAAACATTTTCTTTTTTGGGGGGTGGAGGTTTAAGTTGCACCAACACAGTACAGGTCATATGGAGACAGGCCTCATGTGCCCTTCCATGCATTAATTCAGGCACAAACAGACACCTGAGTAGAACCACAGACATTCCATAAACTAACTACCTAGATTAATTTTTCAACAATTACATGTTTTCTCAGTAAACATATTACAAAGATTGTTACTGGTTATATGGTCATGTTTTAACAACTGTTTGCCACGGGGCTTGGCTAATATAAGCATACAACCATTTAAATGGGTGCAAGTTGAAATTTGGAAAAACCTGAAAACTAAAATTTAAAATCATTTTCCTACATAATCTAATACCGTATAAGTGGTTTTTTCTGCGGGCTCCAAATTCTGCGTTTTTTTCAAATTTTGGCATGTTTTTTTTTTCTGCGGACTTTATTTCTGCGGCTCATTCTTTGGACAAAACGTGATTTAAAGTCTGCGGCTCATCTTATCAAAGTCTAAGTCACATTACTCTATCTTTTTTTATTTGCATGTACACATTCGCATTAAAATATTGTTTATCGTCGTCAACGCAAAACTATATAGTAATTACAAACAATTATATTGTTTGCTTGCAAACAAATATAATGAGAAACAATAGATAGTATGCATCTTTTGATCAGCGTGAAATGACGTGTGAAAAATATACCTCGGTAGTTTCTTTAATTTAATAGATTTGATAGAAGTTTATCGTAAGTTTGACAACAATCATTGTATACGACGATTATTTAGCAGTATAAGGGTTAAAATGGTTTAAATGATTTACTGGTAAAAAAACCTTTTAGCGTACAGGCAAACACTATGATGTTAAATATCTTTATTCATAACTTGGCATAATTAACAATAGGTACATCCTTACAAGCACATATTACATACTTAGCCAAAAGCAATTTTATACAACTCGAGGACCCGCTAACCGTTATAATCCGTTAATCACGTACTTAAGGGGAAACAGGTCATAATGTAGGACACATACCGTTAAAAAAAATGGGAAAATATTCTGCGGTTTTTATTTCTGCGGTGCTGAAACTGACCGCAGAAAACGCAGAAATAAAGTCACCGCAGAAAAAACCACTTATACGGTAGTAAAACATGATGAAATTTATCACAAAAAAGCTGAGCTCTAGGCATATGCCTGAAAACTTCCAACCATGCACTTAAGCCGATCCATATAAAGATGCTGATAAAAGACAAGATTCATCTTAAAATATAGATAAATACTAGTTACTCTAATTGACAGTTTCATGGAAATCGATAAAATAGCTTCAATAAAATGTAACAACAAAATTTTACTCAAAAATACCAAAGAAAACACGAAGAATAAAATATTTTAAAAGATTGCTTAAACAACTGTTTTTCCCTGTATTCTTTAAGAAAGAGTTAAATAACATTTAACGACGCCAAGAGCATTACCGAAGACATAATGGATGATATAATATTCCTCTAATGGGAAAAATCAAACCTGAATTTTCACTTACACGTGACAAGTTACAATATAAATTTCATTACTTGGAATTATTAAATCTTCTGGGAGCCAGATTAGGGTTTGATTTGCAATAAAATGTCAATGAAATTTCAAGACCTATCATAAAGTAATGCATCTCAAAAATAAATGACTATAATTTCAACATTAGTTTTCAAAGCATGCAACTTAATGCTTTATTTTTTATTTGAAGGAGAAACAATCTACTGTATCTGTCAGTGTATTGCATCTGCTATCAAAGTGGGGAAAAAAAACAGTTCCTTTAATATTTCCTACATATGTCTTAACCATGAATTTACCAATACCATATTATTAATTTATCTATTGGCATTTTGGCAATAGATAAATTTAGACTCGGATACATTTTTATCAAAGACAAGAACATAACTTTTTTTTAAAAATTAACTGCTTTTAACACTTTAATACACAAGTTATTTATGATTCAAGTTGAGCTAATAAGAATCATTTTTTCTTGCAAATACAAGCAATGACAAAATATTGCCATTCCAATAGAGAAAGGCAAACAAATAAATATTACCATTAATAGAATTAGGCAAACAAAATATCACCTTTCTAATAGATTTAGACTTACAATATATTAATATTCTAATAGAATTAGACATACAAAATATAACCATTCTAAGAAAATTAAGGCATATTCTAAGAGAATTAAGGCAAACAAAACATTACCATTCTAATAGAGTTAGACAAACAAAACATTACCATTATAACAGAGTAAGACATACAAAATATTACCATTCTAATAGAGCTAGATATACAAAATATTACCATTCTAATAGAGTTAGACATACAAAATATTACCATTCTAATAAAGTTAGACATACAAAATATTACCATTCTAATAGAGCTAGATATACAAAATATTACCATTCTAATAGAGTTAGACATACAAAATATTACCATTCTAATAAAGTTAGACATACAAAATATTACCATTCTAGTAGTTAGACATACAAAATATTACCATTCTAATAGAGTTAGGCATACAAAATATTACCATTCTAATAGAGTTAGGCATACAAAATATTACCATTCTAATAGAGTTAGGCATGAGTCCTCTCATCTTTTCTTCATATGACATTTTCAAATGTGTAATCTACAAATACAATAACAAAATATTAATGGATTACTTATTACAGGTTCTATATGAATTAAATGCAATAAATCCATTATGAAACTGAAGCAAGAGAAATATTAAGGAAGAGTTTAAAAAAAAAATTTTAAACTGGAATTAAACCTTTTTTATGTGAAAAATGCTCATCAATGCACGAAATAACATTATTCTGTCTTAATTGTTTATTTGGCTTTGACGCTGATTTCAACACATTTTTTATAATATCTTGGTGGGCAGTCCACCTGATAAGTAACCAGTAATGACAAAATTTTCTGCACATGACCAACTACTAATCACATATGTGCAGTGAGAAACATATGACCATAAGACTCAATGTCAGAGATCAATTATCATCGAGAAATGTCACTTTTTTTCAAGGATCAAACTCCTAATTACAAATCTGATGCTCTCCCTATTTTTTTATGGTTGGGTCGCTCCAATACAGTAAAGGTCATAGGGTGACATTCTGGCTTTACTGGCTGAGGACCACCTTACGTGCCCTTCCATGCATTATTTAAGGTAAATAAGGGCACCTGAGAAGAACCATCAACCTTCTGTAAGCTAGCTGGATAGCTTTCCCACATGACAGATTCCAAAGTCTCTGTCAGGTTTCAAACCCACAGCAGTAAAAGGCACAATTATGGAGAAGTAGACTTTGTAGAGAAGTTTTATTTCACCTTTTCTTCCTGGTCAGTTTCTTTTTGGTCAAGCTGTCGCTCTAACTGGCGCACCTTTGTGTATTTTGATTCTAACTCTTTTTGTACAGTCTGCAATGCCAAAAAAAAAATTTGCATAATTCTATAAGTCCCAATTGTCTTAAAAGACTGAAAAAAATAACCATGCTCCTAAATAGTTTGCCTAAGATAGAAATCTAAAATGGCAAAAATTTTTTACATCTTGAATGAGCAGAATAATTTTAAATAATTATGCAAATTTCCTGAATCTTGAACTTTAAAAAAAAATGCAAAATATCCCTAAAATAACCATATTCACAATAAAAATATGATTTCTAACTAAATATAGAAGTACAGCTGAAAAATGCTCCAGAAAAAAAAACACCACTTAAGTGATCAATGGTTTCTGTCTAAAGTTCATCAATATTGAATATTAACAAGGGAAAAGCTGTACTCACAGAAAGATTGGAATTGTAATGTTTCTTCAGGATTTTCTTCTCCTCATCATATTTATTGACCAGTTCTGACAACTTGTTGTCTGATGATTCCCTCTGCCTGTGAATGTTAAATACAATGTCTCACTTGTAAATACGCCAATCAGCTATTTAACCAGAATCCAGTTACGTAAATTCAGACGGGAAAAATTAACCATTAACCAGCAGAATTTGTATAATGGATTTGCCCTGCTTTGGATATGACAAGAGGGCCATAAGGTCGCTCACCTGTATATAGGCCTCCCCAACCCCCACCCCCCCCCAAACGTTGCAGGGCCAATTTAACCAAAGGGCTTTTATTTGCACAAACTTGGTAGACACCCATAAGAAGATGTTTCATGCTTAACATCTAAGCTCTAGCTCATTGGGCTATTTAAAAGAAGATTTGTTTTAAAGTTTTTACTATACACATATAGTTAAAAACAATGACACCCCTGGGGCCGGGCCAGTTATTACCCCAGGGTTTTTATTTGAACAAACTTTGTAGACACTTACTAGAATATGTTTCATGCTTAATATCTAAACTCTAGCTATTTGGTTTTTTTCAAAGAAGATTTTAAGTTTTTGCTATACACATATAAGGAAAATCAATGACCCCCGGGGCGGGGCCAATTTTGACCCCAGGGCTTTTATTTGAACAAACTTGGTAGACACCTATTAGAACATGTTTGATGCTAAATATCTTAACCATAGCTCTTTGAGTTCTTTTAAAGAAGATTTTCTAAGTTTTTACTATATGCATATATAGGGAAAATCAATGACACCCGGGGCGGGGTCAATTTTGACCCCAGGGCTTTTTTTGAACAAACTTGGTAGACACTTATTAGAACATGTTTCATGCTAAATATCTTAGCTCTAACTCTTTTTTTGTTCTTTAAAAGAAGATTTTTTAAGTTTTTACTATATGCATATAGGGAAAATCAATGACCCCAGGGGCGGGGCCAATTTTGACCCCAGGGCTTTTCTTTGAACAAACTTGGTAGACACCTATTAGAACATGTTTGATGCTCAATATCTTAGCCATAGCTCTTTGAGTTCTTTAAAAGAAGATTTTTTAAGTTTTTACTATATGCATATAGGGAAAATCAATGACCCCCCGGGGCGGGGCCAATTTTGACCCCAGGGCTTTTATTTGAACAAACTTGGTAGACACTCACTAGAAGATGTTTCATGCCAAATATCTAAGCTCTAGCTCTTATGGTTTTTCAAAAGAAGATATTTAAAGTTTTTTCTTTCGGTTGCCATGGCAACCAGAGTTCTGCATGGAATTAAATTCTTTGAACAATTTTTAAAGGTGACCACCAAAGGAACATTCCTGTGAAGTTTGGATGAAATTGGCTCAGCGGTTTATGAGGAGATGTCGTTTAAAGTAAAAGTTTACGGACGACGGACGGACGGACGGACGGACGACGGACGCCGGACGAAAAGCGATCACAAAAGCTCACCCTGTCACATTGTGACAGGTGAGCTAAAAACAGTCAGTTCTTAGTTTGAGAGATTTCAATATCAAAATACAAAAATTGAGCCCAACAGTATAGATCCTTGCTACACTTCAAAAGATGTGCAGGCTGGCCTGGAACTATTGATGGCAAAGGCTAAAGCTCCGGAAGATTTAGGGTTAAGACAAAATGTAATGCAGTACAAGAACTTACTCCCTCATTGGGACATCACTTATTTGAAAGACATTATCAAAAGAAAAGGTTTATATGAGAATAATCTTTGATAACTTTTTAAATGCTGATTTTAATTCAACAAAGTATTCCGATTGTCATTTAAAACCATTGTAGAAAAAAATAGAAATTTGATTTTTATCTTCAAATTTTTGCAAAAACTCAAAATCATGGAAATATCACAGCTGATAGTCTGATTTGCTGTTTATTTGTTTGTTTGCTAATTGTTATTTAATTACTGTTGATTTGTTTGTTTCTTGTTTATTCTTGACATCATTTGAGTTCAACTTATTCCTTTTACATTTTTCCATCCCTCCTTTCTTCTTTCATTCTTTCTTTCCCTAAAATACCTCCTTCCTCTCATCTACTCTTTGTCTTCATGAACACAATTTAACAGTATGTTAATCATACCCAGCAAGATTTGTCAAGTAACTACAATACAAATATCTTCACATCCTCAATAATATCATAATATAATTGTACTTACTTTTTCATATCATCTCTAAGCTGATTAATTGTGGCATGTAATTCTGAAATGGTCTGGAAAAACAACAATAAATATTGGTAACGCAAAACAACAATAAATATTGATAACAAGATTACACAATTCTTTTACAAAGCTCCTAGTTTATATCTTCTTCTTTTGTCTAAGTTATTACATGTAATAGTTCAATGAGGTTTAATTAATGTCAGTGTATGAAATGGTTACCAGAGTGTATGAAATGGTTACCAGCATATGTAAAATTATGATTATAAAAAGCAAGTATATAAAAGTTAATGAGCAAAAGGGATTTTTAGTTAAACTAGCATATTCTGGACTTTAAAGTTACACAATGTACAAGTCATGGTTTTTGGTGAACAATGACCTCAGATGCATTACTTCAGGTGCAAGAGAGTACTCAAATGCACCTGAATAGAATCACCAACCTTGCATAAGCTAGCTGGATAGCTTCTTTAAATAACAGTCTCCATTTTTAGTTTTTTTAACAACAAAAAGTGTTGTAACTATTTCACTTATATTCCTAAAAACACACTACATACATGTGCTGTTTTACATGCATTAAAAAGGTACGTAGGATCTGTGGTTTTGTAAATCTTGTCAGAAAACTTAAAATATTAGTAACGCAATATTGTTTGCCTTCTTCTACTAAATAAATAAAACTTACGTCTGCAGATTTTTGAGCTCTTTCTGAATATTCCCTCTCTATCTGTTTCAATCTTTCATTAGTCTGGGGAGAAAAAAAATACATATTTCATTTTCAAAAGTCATAAACTAAGATCTCATTTCAATTCACAAATTCTATAATAAATCACAGAAATTATAAAAAATTTATACAGTATGTCACATGACACCTAGAAACCAAGAGAGACTAAAATTTTATCCTAGAATTCCATATGGAAAATTATAACCTTTCAAGACAAATTTTCAAAGATATGGTAAAGCAAATCAAATGAAAAGAAACAGGGCATAAGTTTCAAAGTTTATGTATCAAAAATATTTGTCTCAAGGTCTAAATATTGTCTGATCAATTTTATGGTTTAGACAAACATTTTTTCTTCAAAATAGCATTTAGATTTCATAACAACCAAGATTTCTAAGGATTTCATTTGAACATATACCCTTTGAAGGAAAAACATCAAAAACATTTTTATATTTACCTTTCCAAGGACAGAGAGTTCACATTTATCTTACCAATAAAAGAAATTCAAATAAACATCTTTAGGAAAGACAAATATTTTCCTTTCAAAGGACACACATTTAAACATTCACCTTTCCAAGGACAAACACTTAAACAGTTACCTTTCCAAGGACATGCTCCATTTCTGTACTATGAGTCTTCTGTAACTCTAACCTTTGCTGCTCCATTTCAGATTTTAGTTTGTTCATCTAAATACAATATCATTTCATTAACTATCACCGTTTTACATGCATATTCAAGCTTAATATACCTACTGAAACGTTAACAGCAGAGATAGGTTTGAAAATACTGGGTTTAAAAAACAAAACAAAAAAACTTCTACAGTAAAGGCTATTTCATTGAATGAAAATCCTGTATAAGTAAAACTGCTGGAAAATATTTCATCTTAACAATAAGGTCAGACTCATACAAATATTTTAATATCTGCAATAACATATAAGTATGACATTAATTATTTGTAAATTGTATATGATTTAGCAACTTAAAACATAGAAAACACTTCACTCAGCATAAAAAAATCCAATCATTCAGTTTTCTTAGAAGGCTGACAATGTGATATCACAAAAAATGGTCATTCTTTGATAAGAGGAGTGTTTAAATATAAATGCATTTAAGTTAGTTAGAAGTTGATACTTCATAGGTTTCACTAAATTTTTTTCCCTCAAAGTATTCAGCTCCAACAGATATACAAAGTTTCAGTGTCCAGATCCAATCTTTAATGATATTTTCATAGTCTTTGTAAGGTATACTATGAAGGCACTGGAGTATTAAAGAACCAAGGTGTTTGCACTGAAGAAATTTTGGAACTAAAAGGCATTTTTAAGCTTTTGCAACAAAAAGAAGTCACCAGGGGCAAGGTCAGGTAAATACTGAGGATGGGAGGGGGGTCACGGCACAATGACTTTTTTCCTACTTCAGAAAGTCTAGAACTATAGATGCCTTGTGCAATGACACATTGTTATGCAGCAATTGATGACATCTGCAAAAAACCATGCAAGTATATAAGAAAAATATGGTCTTTCTAACAACCCTGACAATGTGATATTATAAAAACATGGTATTTCAATCAGACATGTTTACCTCCGTTTCTTGTTCCCTCTGCATAGTTTGCTTCTCTTCTTCTCTCAGTAGGCCTAGCTCCACTAACTGTTGTTTCCTCAACTGATTACACTGAACAACTTCTTCTCTTAACTCCTGCTCACGCAGTTCTAGTCCTGCAATTTTCTGTAACAACAACAACAAATATATTTACATCAAGAAAAATCATACTAATACTGTAAAGGTCAAACTGGGAAAAACACAAGAAGAACACAGGTGCCCCTTTGTGCATAATTTGAGGCACAAGAAGGAATCCTTGCAGAACCATCATCCCTCTGTAAGCCATTTTGATTGTTCCTTAGATCAAGAGAGAAACCAAAAGTTTCTAGCAAGATTTAAATCCACTGCAGTAAATTGCAAGTGGCTCTTGGTCAGTTACTCACTGAGACTCTTTTAACCATGTATAAGCTCATTCTCAATAAAACACAGCATTTGATGTTCCACTGGGTAGCTCTTATACAAAGGTTTTTCTTGAGGGCAAAATGTTGTTAGAAAGGTGGCTGCCACTATGTCTAATAGGGACCCTCTCAGTTTTACATTTTTATCTGGTATTTTTCTTTTATAAGTACCATTAATGCCCTAAAATGTAACATACGCTACTGTCGCCACCTAGAATTTTCAACTTTGAAATTGTGTTTCAGAAAAATAAGTTCCAGAATAAACAAAACATGTGCAATTAGTCATTGCTGCGTGTATATGCACTTTGATTATAAGTAAAAATTATATTTGACTCTTAAAAACCTCATTGATATAATGGATGATCAAATGTCGCCAAATGCATACGAATAAATAGTGACAAACCTAAAACAATTACAAGCGAAACAGAAATTACATAATTGAATCGATGCATGCTTTATAATACAGCAAATATCTAATTATAAGCAAAAAGAAACTTGCAGCCTCTCAAATATCATTCTGTTTTCGGAAATTTTCATTTTTTATTCAAATCTTTTCAACAGCGTTTTAAAAAGAAACATACGTTACCATTGTTTAAGAGCTGATCCATTGAAGGAAGACTCCAAATGAGAAATAAATTTAACATGTGTATAACTCTGATATATTAACCACAAATTATTGGGGGTTATACGCTCTTGTGTCATTTTTCAACTCACTTTCAATGTAACAAAAGCTGTCAGTAGGACAGCAACGCTTGACTATTCTTAGTGCTTGATAGTAAAAAAAAATGCTTGATACAGTAACCTCCTCCTGTTTACAGGTTGGGGTCATGATGGTGAACAAGTGTGCAAAGTTTCAAAGCCATATGTCAATGGACTTTGAAAATATTTGAACTATTACAAAAACTTTAACGTAAATTCTAAGTCGAAAAAGGGGCATAATTCTGTCAAAATGCTTGATAGAGTTACCTCCTCCTGTCTACAGGTTGGGGTCATGAGGGTGAACAAGTGTGCAAAGTTTCAAAGCCATATGTCTATGGACTTTGAAAATATTTGAAGTATTACAAAAACTTTAACGTAAATTCTAAGTCGAAAAAGGGGCATAATTCTGTCAAAATGCTTGATAGAGTTACCTTCTCCTGTCTACAGGTTGGGGTCATGATTGTGAACAAGTGTGCAAAGTTTCAAAGCCATATGTCAATGGACTTTGAAAATATTCGAACTATTACAAAAACTTTAACATAAGTGGTTACGCCGACACGGACGCCGACGCTCGGGTGACTGCAATAGCTCTACTTATTCTTATCAAATAGTCGAGCTAAAAATGAAACATATGTTACAGAAACATATATTACCAACTTTTTAAAGTAAGTTTATCAAAAGGGAAATTGAAGTCAGAAAGCACGTATAACAGTAGCATTAACTTCAATTTTACATTAGTAAGTAAATTTTATTAACTTTGTTCGAGTTTTAACTTGTTTAAGTAACCATAGTGAAACAAATGTTACTTTTATCAAACAAATTTTATGTTGTTTACACATGCAAATATAAAAACATAAAATCGCATTTATATGACAATATAATGATGTACATTTGATTCCGAAATAAAAAAAGTCGATTTGACATGTAAGTTTCAATTCTGTGATAAAGTTCATAAATAAGCCAGTGTGAAACATACGTTACTCCAACTTAAAATTCCACAATTTTTGAAAATTAAAGGTAAAGTTGGGATTAGCATGGCTGTTAGTAACGGTAACCTTGTATTAAATGTAAGAAGATACAAAAGTGTTTTTGTAAAGGAAAGATATTTTCATAATATGTTGATGTACCAGCAGAAATGTTAAAAATATATTATAAGCTTGAAGTTCTCAATAGCAACAAATTCATTGCTGCAAAGAGTTTACTGGCTGTATTTCATTCTATGTATAATACTGTTAAAATAATATCCAAAAAATATTCATTATTTTACAAAAAAATAAAATTGTTTTCGTAATCTTTACTTGTATTTGAATAAAATGAAACATATGTGACATATTGCATTGGGATAAATATAGAACTGCTTAGCAATAATTTTTCCAAATATGAAGAAAGTGGAAATTTGAATGTTTTGAAAAAAGGTTCTAAATACAACATTTGTGTATGCATTCGACCTCTCATATATCATATATGATATATATCCTTGGAATGAAGACATAAAATAATCATTTCCAAAATTGACTATTTTCGCTTTCTACGAATATTTAACTTTGAAGAAATTAACTGAAAATTAGCAAGGTACCCAACTTCCTTCAATTTTCCTGGGTTAGAAAGTTCCTCTAGATAGAGAATTTACAGATTTTGATATATTTTATAGACATTTGTTATTTATATGCAGCCAATATGTTACATTATAAGATCTGAAATCTACGTTACCAAGGAAATACAGTGTCATTACCAAAATAAATGCTATCCTGTTATATTATAATTTCTTGTTGAAAATATTTCTGCCAAACTTGCAAAATACCCTAAACATTTACTTCAGTGATAAAAAATGACATAATAACAAAATCAAATTTTTAATATTTTCCAACCTCAAATGCTTTATTTTATTGAGAATGGTCGGTATACTGTGAATTCACTTAATTTTCGTCTGCACAGAATTTCAAAGATTTTGTCAAAAAATGACATTTTCGTGAGTTCCTAAATTTATGGACTGTTGGTTTTTGTGAACAAAATGTGCAATAAAATATTTTTACAACAGACAAAATAAAATTTTGTTGAATCTTAAATTCATGGATTGACCTATCAAATAAGTGCTCCAAGAATAAGGATGATGTAGCATTAAGTTAAATTATCAGTATCTAGACAACTGTAAAAAAACATATATGAGCCGCATCATGACAAAACCAACATGATAGGTTTGCGACCAGTATGGATCTAGACCAGCCTGCGCATCTGCACAGTCTGATCAGGATCAATGCTGTTTGCTATCAGTTTCTCTACTTGTTATAGAGTTGTAAGCGAACAGCATGGATCTAGACCAGACTGCGCAGATGCGCAGGCTGGTCTGGATCCATGCTGGTCACAAACCCATTATGTTGGTTTTGTCATGACACAACTCATATGTTTTCTTGTTAGCAGTTACATTTTGTATTCTCTTCTCATAATACCTCCATCTTGCAACATTTAATCATAATTAACAACATGTATTTGATCTGCTAACAATACCAAAACAAAATAATTTCCAGCAAACAAAACTGGCAAAATTTCAACCCTAAGTATAAATTACCTGCTAACAATACCAAAACAGCAAAATAAACTGGCAAAGTTTTATCCCTAAGTATAAATTACCAGCTTACCATACCAAAACAAAAGAATTTCCTACAAAAAATCGCCATGTTTTACCTTTAAAAACATAAATCATGTTTTACTATACCTTTGCATCCTTTTCTTGTCTCAAATGCATCCTTTTCTCGAGATCTGTGACTTCCTGTCTGTGTAAAGACTTGAGATTCTCGGTCTCCTTCTCGTGCTCACCATGTATAAACTCCTTCTGTAAGTGGAAGTCCTTCAGCATACCTGCTTTATCTTGTTCAAATGACATTTTTAGTTCCATCACCTGGTGACACCACAAAACAAGTCAAAAATTGTCAATAACATCAATAACCTTACATATGATAAATACTGCAAATATTATTCAAATTAAAACATCAACTTTCTAATATTCTAAGGTATGCAGTACCATTAATCCTTTGTTTCCATTGCTGTTGTTGTTTTTTGTGTTTGGGTGTGAGGTAAACAGTAGTAAATCAATGGGGGTATTCAAACCAACAATATTTACTTAAATTCAAATTATTATAAAGAAAACAAATAATTTATTTCAGTTTATTTGTTATTTTATGGTGTAAGACTTTTCAACTTCATTCATACCACATACCACAGGAATGACACTGCTAAAAGTACATTATGTGACTCAATGGGTATATAATGCTATTTTTAACTACTGTTGCAAAATACAAAAAAAGGTCTCATACAGAATGATCTTACCTCTCTATTATGACTGGCCTTTGCTTCATCAATTTGCCTGTTAAACTCCTTTGCCTGCTTTTCCCGTGCTTGTTTAGACTTGTTAAGATCTGATTCTACCCGTGCCATTTGTTGTTTCATATCGTCAAACATACGTGTCTGGTTTTTATCAACCTGTTCCTTGAACGCTGACAAAGCTTTCTCAGACTCCTGGGCCTGGTGGCGATTTTTCTCAGACAAACGTTTGATTTCATCTTCTCTATCCCTGAAAAGATCAATAAAAATTTAGGTTATTCCTTGAAAATATTCTGAGGTTCATATTAAAAATCTGCATAAAAAACATTCATTAAGAACAATTTTTATTAAAGGGTAAATGACATTAAAAAAAGTAAAATGCATTGTTTTTATGATGAATGCCAACTGATAAAATGGACTGTTTTTAGAGATGAATTATTGAATTCCTTGTTTTATATTGATGAATCCCTGTTTTTGATTGTAAATGAAAATTGATAAAATGCATTGTTTATAGTGATGAATAACTTATCAATGAATGCTAACTGATGAATATCTTGCTTTTATTTAATGAATCACTAAATGCCTTGTTTAAAGTGATGAATAAATGAATTCCTTGGTTTTTGAGAATAAAATTAATGGGATGCTTAATTACCTTTTTAGCAATGAATACCAGGAATTAATGAAAAATCTGCCTTGTTTTTAATACTGACTTAAGTTCAATAAGTCTATATGAACCCTATGAACCTTAATCATGCCAATGTTCTGGAAAATCCTGATCATAAAATTAACAGCATACCACATAGCCAGGCATCACCATAGCAATATAAGTAAACAGTGATCATCCTTCTCTTTTAAACTGTTTATTTAAACTACAGGCCTTCACAATAATAAACAAATGTTCTATAATTTTAAATCTAAGCTTACAGCATATCCAATGGTGAGTGTTCAGGTAAAATTAAAATCACTCTATATTTTGTCAAATTTCTTTTTAATTTAATAATTAATGTCACTTGAGTAATCAGTAACTCATGTGACTCATACAAATACATTGTATCTATAAGGAGTTTTCGGAAATACTGGTAATGTTTAAGTTGTAAAAATAGCGGGGCAGTATTTCTGGCAGTTTTTAAGTTTTATCCTAAGGCTAAACATTTGTTACTATCAAACATCAACATTAAAAAAAATCTTTTGAAATATACAGCTAACTTAGCTTGACAGTTTGTTTGGTTTTATGACGCACAAACACAGTGTGTCATATAGAGTCGTAACGAGAAAGATGATTTTGGCTAACCTTTGGTGTTACAAACTTCAAAGCAACACAAAGGATCAAAACCATCTCACCTGCTGGAGCTAAGAAATGCATAGACTCCAGTTATTCAAACATGTTTAGTCATGACTGCAATTCTTAAGCCTCAATTGTTTAAGGCAACCCCTTTGCCTCAAGGGACGTCACTTTAAAGAAAAATATATTAAAAGTTTAAGAAATGTAATAATATTCATAATCCTTTTGTGACACTGCATGTTTAGCAATATGACAGAATATACTTTTTTATTGCCTCATATCTGCACTTTTTTATTAATTGGTTACAGTTAAGGCTATTTTCATATATTTTGACACATGAAAAATCATTTCCAAGGATAGTAAGTAACTTTGGCTAAATCTAAATCACTTTATTAGTACAGTACATCCTAAAAACAAGAGCTGTCAGAAGGACAGCGCGCTCGACTTTTTTAGTGCTTGCCTATAAAACAAAACTTTGACAGTTAAGGGCACACAAGACTTTAACTAGGAATTTCTAAGTACAAATCAAGAAACATTTTCACAGAGTTATCTTCTCTTGCTTACAGATAGGTCTCATGATGGCACATAAGAACTCCAACTTCCAAAGTAATATCTCAAATGGTTAAGTCAACAAGTGGACAAGAATGAAAATTTTAACTGAGTTTCTAAGTCAAAAAGGGCCATAATTCAAATAAAATCCTTAACAGAATTACCTTCTCCTGCCCATGTTTTGGGACCATGATGGTAAACAAGTATTCCAACTTTCAATTTAATATCTCAACCAGTTCAGTCAAAAAGTTGACTGGTACAAAAAAGTTAACCAAGATTCTAAGTCGATAAAAGGCCTTAATTTTTAAAACAAATCCCTGACAGAGTTACCTTCTCTTGCGTACAGATGGGGGTAATGATGTGAAATAGCATTAAAAGTTTCAAAGCAATATCTCAAAGGGTTAAGGCAATAAGTGGATTTTACCCACATTCAATGTATTTTCTAAGTCAAAAAGGGGCATAATTCTGTCAAAAACCTTGACAGAGTTATGTCCTCTTGTCTGTTGATGAAGGTCGTGATGGTAAACAAGTATGGTGAGTTTCAAAGCAATACCTCCAATGGTTTTGAAATAAAGTGAGGTGGTACAAAAAACTTAACCAAGCTCAATACACTTTCTAAGTCAAAAAAGGGCCATAATTCTGTCAAAAACCTTGACAGAGTTATGTACTCCTGTCTGTAGATGGAGATTATGATGGTGAACAAGTATGGTAAGTTTCAAAGCCATACTTGTAATACTTCTGAAATAAAGTGGGGTGGTACGAAAAACTTAACCAAGGTGTGACGCCAACGCCGACGCCGACGCTAACGCCGACGCCGACGCCGACGCCGGGGCGAGTAGGATAGCTCCCCTTTTCATAGAAAAGTCGAGCTAAAAAATGTTCACTAGTTAGAAGAAATCTACAATTGTAATAAGAATTAACACAAAAATCTGGTTGGGGGCTGCTTTTTCGGCTATAACAGTACATACCTCACAATTTGTTCCAAACTCTTTATTTTCTTATGAAGATCTGCATCGAGCTGATCAATCTCTTTCTTAGCCGATGACAGCTGAAATTATATCAATTGGCCATATTCACTCGGTTAAAAAAACATTTCCCTTTTTTTGTGTTTATCTCAGAGTGTTAAAGGAAATAATCAATCATTTTATTCCACCACTCATCCATCACTAGCAAATATGATATTAAACTTAATTTTATCATCATGGCAAAATTGTAGAATGCATCATTCATTAATTCTTTGTTGCATTTAAATTTACTGGTATTATTCAATAAAATCTTTTTTTTTCAAACAAAATGGTGACTTTGCAACTTTACTCGACCCATAGAACTTTCCACTTTAAACTTGCATTTTGATGAGACACTTGAAAGACCTCAAACAATTATTCACCTTTCAGTAAAACTAAATCCAAAACAAAAAACTACCATTACATAGAACCAGTTTACACAAAAATTAACATTGCTTCAAACAATTCTATTTACGCTGGATGTTAAATCAGGAACTGTCATATTATACATGTATCATTAACCTTAAGATCTGCTTCTTAAGCTGAAAACAACTGATGTCGTGTCATGAACAGAGTCCGGCTTGTACCTGAACACCCTTGATTGACCATTAACCTAGTACTTGAATGTAAAGTAAAGTTTAAACAATGTACCTGTTTTTCGTGTAAAGTTTCCATGTGGTACTTGTCTTGTTTATGGACCTGTTCCATCTCACGTATTTGACGCTGACGCTGTTCTTCAGCGTCCTTCAAGTTTCGCTTCAACTGGTCGATATGACTCTCTAATTCAGACACGGTCTCGGCTGCCTGCATTAATATAACAGTTTATATAGTTTTACATACTCAGATAATGAACAATTAAAGCTGCTTTAAAAAGCATAATTATATAACTAGAATTGTGTAAAAATATTCATGCATAAGTTAATGAATCCCTGTAAAACTATTTTTAGAAACAATGCTTTTAATATTTAGTGATATATTCAAAACTAAAAGCATGGAATAAATTAATGAATATTGATTACATCACTATTAAAGCAGCATGTCCACTGATGATCATAAAATTATTTTTTCTAAATATGTGAAAATTTGCTTTCCATTAGGTAAAATATTGATCAAAAGTACATTAAAACAAAGTTTCAAAATATTTTGCACATAATCGATGTATTACTTAACAAGCTATCTTATAAGTGACTGACTTTTAACAGCTATAAACTAGCATATTATCTTACACATTAAACTCAAGATTTCCAAATTACTCAAAAATTTTTGTCCTTTTTATATATAATACAATGTACTTGAAATGAGAAGAATTCCTCTTTTTTTTTACATTAATCTGTAAACATGCTGATTTAAAATAATCTTACTGATAATTTAGTATTATTCAAGTCACAATAGATTTATAAATCCATTAGTTATCAAGACTGTATAATAGAGAAAATGCAAATCACTGTATAATTGAGAAACTACACATCAATGTCATTATTATTTCAAACTACGGTAACTGGAGGAATAATTTTTAAGTATAAAAATGTCTGACTTACACAGACTTACACGGACAAAACAAGTTCTTTACTTCAAGTAGAGCAGACATACAATAGGCAAAAAGATCTTAAATCTTCAGAACAAGATGTTTAAAAAACCATAAAACATCCAAAATAACACTCTTTTTCTTCTTAATCAAACAGAAATCAAATAAACTGTCAGACATTAATAATCCTTTTATTGCATGTTCACATTAATTGCCGTACAATAAGAGGGGCAATAAATATTCAAGGGGCAATAAACCTATATAAATACCAACTCAGAGCTTGTGTCCACTGTGAATATTGACTTTACAAAACTATCCAAAAATCAATTTTTAGATAACTTTGAAAACAAAACGGCTGATAATGTACTACAAAAGTGTCTTAGCCCCCAGAAATACATCTGTTCAGTTGAACAAGACTCTATCACTGTCTATACTGTGGCTACTCAATTTGATTTTGTTTTTTCAAACTGTAATTCTTTCACTCACAATACTCAGTTCAATTTTCGAACAAGACATATTTCAGTATGCAATTTTAGCAAGGTAAGGATCAAACCATCATCATGATATCTTTTAATGTTAGCACAATACCTCAACTACATGTATATTGTAAATTGATATAATGGTATAACTATACTTATAATACTGCATGCTGATATCGTCAATTTTCATTGGACAATCTTTGGTGTTAATATAATCTATACACACTGCTACTGTAAATTAATGAATTTATTCACGTTTTTCCAAAATTAAAGAAATTATGCTATTTTATAAAAAATATTAATTTTTGTAACAGTTAAATGGCCATATATGAACAGTTGTTTGCTTTATAACCCTTGCCTAGTGACTTTGTTAAACTGTTCATAATGGGCCATTATATCCTGTAAAAAAATTTATAACTATACATAAACATTACAAAAATATCCTCATACAGTATAACAAGTATCATATCCAATCACATCCTATCAAAGATGATATTTAAATCGGGCATAATAAGATTGTAGCCATTCTTTGAACACACAATGCAATTAATTTAGTATACCACTGGTATAAAGCAAGGCAAGCTACTGGTGCTATGCATGTAGCCTGCCCAACCATTTGGTTGATTTGTAAATCTAAAGTCCCTGCAAGGAATTTTAAACCAAAGCAGTGACTGGCAAGTAATTTCAAATCAGCCACATTAACCTCTCTGCCTGAAACATCCTATATTCCTGAACTGTAATAATTTCTTTTTCCAAACTCTTGAATTGAATACAGTGTTATAATAACTGGGTCAACTTCAGTTCTATATTCAATTTTGTTATCTATATAATATGCCATGCATAATTACCATGCTTTTTCACACGTAAAACATCACAAACTCTCTTGTGTAATTGATATAATTAATTCAAGTTACACAAAAAAACAACAACAATCACAATTACATGCATCCAGCTTCTTATGTTTACTGTAACTATCTGGGTAAGTAGCCATGCACCAATAGGAATAAACTAAAACTTTTCTGTCTTTCTTCATATGAATATCAGAGGCATAAATGCAAAGAAATATTTTAAATCTAATACAAAGAAACATAATTATGAAAAAGATAACAAATTCTGTAATCTAAATATTTGGCATTATGGTAAACTTTATCAAAAAAAAAAATATATATATATATAAAATAAATCAAAACTAAGATTAAGAAATGTTTTGCTTATTTTGTTACACTTTTTTTACTTTATAGCTCTTCATTAAAAGAAAGACAGAAAAGGTCTTTTCAATGAAGCCTAAAAGAATGATAATCTAAATGTTACTTGCATTTTCTTGATTGATTCATTAAAGAGGAGCAGTTATGTTACTATAAATACTAATAAAAGTTTCATGAATGAAAAAATTTACCTCCTTCACACAACACTTAAAGGTATAAGCATATTGATGGTTCACAAAGACTAAACGTTTCATTGTGTACATTTTATGCTAAGCTTGGCTTCTTTTTGCTGTTTTGATTGTGGCTTAGCAATGTCAACAGTATAGAGCCAGACCAGTCTAAAAAATTTGTGCTTGTTTGTTTGATTGGGTTTAATGTCGCACTGACCTTTGGTCATATGGTGATGTTCCACCTTTACTGGTGGAGGAAGACCTACGGTGCCCTTCCATGCATTATTTCTGGCACGAAACGGACACCTGAGTAGACCCACCGACGTTTCGTGCGCTAGCTGGAAAGCTTCCTCAAATGAAAGAATCCAAAGTATATGTCAGGATTGGACCCCACAGCAGTGAGGGACAAGAGGTTTGAAGTCAATGACCTTAACCACTCGGCAACAGATGCCCCCCTAAAAAAATTGGGGCAGTCTGACCAGGCTCTATACTGCTCAATTTTGATATTCTAATTTTTTTATATCCCCTGTAACTACAAATGGACTAGTCCAAATTCAAAGCAGGGCAAGTTCATTACACTGAAATTAATAGGATACGGGGGAAAAACATGATGATACATGTATTTAATTGCTAAATTCTGGTAGCAAGTGCTTGTGATGTCATCATGCAACTTGTCTATATAGTATCTCCAATAAAAACAATAAGCATTAAATATGGTCAGGTAAAAGGAAAAAAATGGTCAACCTTGTCTTTTAAAAAGCATTGAAAAGGTGCTGTTATTTAACAAATATTAAAAAAGCAAATTAAACCTGTGTCTCAACGTTAATGCACTTAAATGAAAATTCAATATCTTTTTCTACTTTTGCTTGTAATCAAGGAGAGAAATCTAGGTGAGAAAAATGTTGCCTACTTTAATGAAAAAGTCAAATTTGTTAGCACAACTTTATATTTCTTTTATAATCAAAGTATACCTTGATATCCATAGAAACCCGACTTTAAGTTGAGATCTTATTGATTGTACATAAAATATTATAAAACATATTCATTCTTCTTTGAGAACACTAACTTGTGGTCAGACAAGAATTTCTGTAACTTTCTAGGCTATTTTGTAACTCAGATAAATGCTGACAGGAAAAAAATATAAAAATACATACACCAGTCATGGCTCGAGTTATTTCTTCAAGATTTTCAGTACTAATTTAAAAGCAAAATCTAAAGTCCCTGGCAGGATTTGAAACTGCCGTGGAGAAAGACAAGTTGTGGTGGTGTTGGAAGTTTAACCTCAAGATCACTGCAGTAAGCCCCTTTGAATTCACCAGAGCACAGTCCAGCCACTGCATCAATACTGGGCAGGCTGTCAAGCAGTGTACTTGTTGCCTTAACATTCCAAATGTCCTGATAACATATGAACATAGTACAGCAGAGGTACAGTACAAATGATAGTAGAAAATATTTCATGATCAATCACAACGAAAGTGAGCTACAATGTCCGGGAATCCAACCTGGGTCGCTAATTCACAGTCCAATGCTTTACAGTAACCAGATGGATAAATATTCCTCACTGCTATTGGAAACAGAGACCTAAGAGAGGGACTAAAGACCTCATGAGGGACCAGATTTATATCTCAATTACAGATGTCTTACTTCAACATGGTAAAATTATATCTCATTTACAGATGTCTTACTTCAACATGGTAAAATTATATCTCATTTACAGATGTCTTACTTCAACATGGTAAAATTATATCTCATTTACAGATGTCTTACTTCAACATGGTAAAATTTCAACAATCACTCAAAGTCTTAAAAAATAATTAAAATTTGACAATGGCAAATCAGAAGATAAAAGCTGAAATAAAACATGTTACTGCTGCTTCTGAACTGAAAGATAACTAAAATCTAGATACTTTCACCACAAGATATGTGAGAGGAAGAAAGAAGTATTCTGAAAGCAACTCTGATCTGTTTATACGATAATTCTCTTCTCAATCTTACTCTATAAGTTGTATGCTTCCTCTAAATGAAATATTAAATGACTGATGTCTTAATGTTAAATGACAAAATTAATGAATTTTCAGATTTGCGTGTTATTTTATTAGTTATAGCTAGATATTAATAATCAAAGGGAGGTAATTAATGCTTGACTAGGTAAGAAGTAATCAAGAGTTGTAGAACCTTTACCAGACAATAGGTTAAGGATATTTAAAAATCAAAATTTTGCTTTTATTTATTTTATTTAAGAATCAACTGTAAGAGTGCTGAAGTACCTGGCTTTTTTGTCTTTTTTGATAAAAATATACAAATAGTTTTCTTTTATTTAATGTCAAAATGATATATCAATTTCCCTTGTAAATAAATAAACAGATCAGGTCTTAAAAAAGGCAGCAAAACTATGAACACATGAATTTTACACTATCAGATGCAATAAAAAAAACTCAAATATTTCAAATATAAATCATTTTAGTTGTTGGAACATGGCAATTTTAAGATATTTTGAAAATAACAAGGCCATAATGATTCTAAACTTGACACAGATGGGGCAAGATTGATATTTTAAAATGACCATTCAACACAAAAATTTTTAGAGGTTGCACACTAGAGTTTCAAAAGTTTGTTTCTAAAGAAACATAATCTAAAAATTCATAGAAAAAAACAACTAATAAATGAATATAAAAAAAAAAAATGAAACGCAAAATATAAACACACATGTGTATTTATTCCAAAATCTACCACAATTAATTTAAAATAAAACTAGAACTATCACTAAATGTGATTAATACCCCCACAAGACTGCTTCGGAAATGAGGATGTTACTAGTAACAGAATACCTTGTAAAAGAATTGAAATATACAGTTATGGTTGTGGGCAATTAAAGATAGTTGTGGTTCTTATATGTTGCATTTCCTTTCAATGTGGTTGGCCATTGATGAAGTTTAATTGAATTACTCTGTAATAAGTCCAGAAAGACAAAGAAAAGGAACAAAGGGCAATAACTCTATAAATACTGTAGATAGAGTTATAGTTCTTGTGCAATGCACTTCCTCTTATTGTGCTTGACCATTGTATGAAGTTGTTTTGAATTCTAACCAGTATGTTTTAAGTTATGCTCCTGACAAGGAAAAGTATCAAAGGGCAGTAACTCTGTATTTTGTCAAAAATGGAGTTATGGCTCTTGTGCACTGCACTTCCTTTTAATGTCCTTGACAAATGTATATAGTTGTATTGAATTCCAAACAGTAGTTTTCAAGTTATGCTCTGGGTCAAGGAAAAGTAACAAAGGGCAATAACTCTGTAATTAGTCAAGATGGAGTTATGGTTCTTGTGCACTGCACTTCCTCTCAATGTGCTTGACCATTGTATGTAGTTATATTGGAATTCCACCATTAGTCTTCAAGTTATGGTCCGGACAAAAAAATCAATGGAAAAGTAACAAAGGGCAATTACTCTGTAATTACTTTAGATAGAGTTATGGTTCTTGTGCACTGCACTTTCTCTCAATTGTGCTTTGACCATTGTATGTAGTTATATTGAATTCCAACCATTAGTCTTCAAGTTATGGTCCGGACAAAAAAAGGCAATGGAAAAGTAACAAAGCAAAGGGCAATAACTCTGTAATTACTGTTTAGATAGAGTTATGGTTCTTGTGCACTGCACTTCCCCTATTGTGTTGGACAATTGTATGAAGTTGTTTTGAATTCCAATCAGTAGTTTTCAAGTTATGCCCCGGACAAGGAAAAGTAACAAAGGGCAATAACTCTGTAATTAGTCAAGATAGAGTCATGGTTCTTGTGCACTGCACTTCCTCTCAATGTGCTTGACCATTGTATTTAGTAATATTGAATTCCAACCATTAGTCTTCAAGTTATGGTCCGGACAAAAAAAAGCAATGGAAAAGTAACAAAGGGCAATAACTCTGTAATTACTTTAGATAGAGTTATGGTTCTTGTGCACTGCACTTCCCCTTATTGTGTTGGACAATTGTATGAAGTTGTTTTGAATTCCAATCAGTAGTTTTCAAGTTATGCCCCGGACAAGGAAAAGTAACAAAGGGCAATAACTCTGTAATTAGTCAAGATAGAGTTATGGTTCTTGTGCACTGCACTTCCTCTCAATGTGCTTGACCATTGTATGTAGTTATATTGAATTCCAACTATTAGTCTTCAAGTTATGCTCCGGACAAGGAAAATGCAACGGACGTCTGGACCGACCGACCGACCGCCCGACCGACCGACCAACCGACCACCGGGTGACTCCTATATACCCCCCCCAAACTTCGTTTTTGGGGGTATAATTATTCTGATGTATTATTTCCAGATTCTGCTGACATGAATTTTGCAAAATACACAGGTTTCATTTTTATTTTTCACATTTCTTTTTACATTCTTTTAATAATTCCTTTAGCTGAAAATCTTTGAAGCAAAATTCATTAAAAAAACATTTAACTCCACTTTAATTAAACTGATATCCAAAAATCTTTATATTTAAGATATTGTTTGACATTAATGTGTGATGGATAACTAATTTATTTACTGGTATTCTATCAATACGTGATGTGGGGGGTAGGGGGCTAGAGTGTTCATAAAGTTGCTCCCATGGCCTACAAGTGTTCATCTTTACCTTATAACAACATCCCTGTGCATGTGATATATATAAACATGCAGTTAAACATGAAGATAAGTTAAATGATCATATAAATTACACCAGTTTCGTCACACCATGTGGTATGTCACATTGTAACATCATTTTGAGCTATTTGTAGCATGATTTTTTTGTCTTGATTTAGAGGAGGAAACTGCAGTTCCCTTTAAAACCGAGACAAAAAAATGCTATAAAAATGGCTCCATGCACCAAATAGTTTAGTCACACTTTATACGGTCAAATCTGGATTTTCAAAATCATTCAGACTTAGTATTTTTTATTTCTAACAAGTTGTCTATATTTCAGATATTTTATGCCTGAATTTAAAACAGAATTACTGTACTACAATCATGTACATTTATTTTAATACAATAACAAACAATGGAAGTGGAAATAACAATGATACATTCAAAATTCATAAATATTACTCTAAAAGATGATACTCTAAGTAAAGATTGTACATTGTACTTTCAAATGTGTTTAATGTCCTGACAATCATGCATCTGTCAAATTGTTACCCTGCCTCCCCACATCCCCAGGGCACTGAGCAGGGGGGTAAGGGGAGGAAATGAGTCATGTTTTTACTTCCATCCTGTCCCTGCCATGTCAATGCAGTGGTTATGACACCAAAGTAGCAAGGGATATTACAAACGAGCAGTGCCAAGGCCATTCAGCAGGGATTTATTATTTGAGTGTCCTCTCAGGACAAAGACCTTCACATCGGATTTCATAACGCAAAAGTCAATGTCCTTGTTGATGCTTGAAAAAGGGGGACAAGGTTTCAATCGGCAAGTGCATTAAGTCAAAGAAAAAAAAACATACAGGGCAGCTACAATGCCAAAATAACTTGTCGTTTAGTTAAGTACTGTTCATATACATTGTCTCTCTAATTTCAGTTGATTCCACCATCCATATGGTTGGTATCTTGGTGTAAAATAAAATCTCTTGTAAATTCATAGCAAAACAACTTAACCTTAGAAAACTCTATCGGCAATAATGCCTTGCCTATGCCACTTGTCTAATATGGTTTTTTTTTGGGGGGGTCGGTTTTATGTCTCACCAACACAGTATAGGTCATATGGCGACGTTTCAGCTTTACTGGTGGAGGAAGACCTCAGGTGCCTTTCTGTGCCTTATTTCAGGCATGAACCGGCACCTGCTTACAATCACAACGTTCATAAGCTAGCTGGATAGGTTTAAGATCCATGCAACCAAATCAGACTCTATACATGTACTACTGCTTGCATAATTTAAGATTTTTGATATCAAAATCCCTTATGTATTATAGTCATACTTATGCATTATACAAATTAAGCAAATGTTAGGGCTTAACAAAAAGTTTAAATGATTGCAAATACTTGTTGGAGAAGACAAATTAAAGCAGAATGCCTCCGGATTTAAGTAAATTTTTATGAAAAATTAAAATTTGTTCTAAATAGTGAAAGAACTGTCAAGTGTACACATTAAGTAATTTAACATTGCATTTTGCATAATTTATTCACAGTTTCACCTAAATTGTAAATACTTATACATATGTATTTTTCTTAAGTTTTATTTTTTGTTCCGGATTTTTTTTTTCACTCATCTGAAGGCATGCCCCTTTAAAGAGAAAGATGTGTTATGAATATTATAATTTTCAAACAAATTTCAAACTTAATTCCACACTTGTTGTTAGCGCATAATACTTTCACCTTACAAATCCAAAACAAAACATACAAAGTACTCTTGATTCTTGCAAACATCTATAAACAATTTTCCCATTCAAACATCTAAAAATTGCAATCTCCTCTAACAAAAACAACCAACCCATTAGCCTCATCTATGAAAACTGTACACATATTTATGATATGGCGTAGTACATACCTTAGTTTGAGCCATGTTATGCTCTTGTTTCATGAAGTCGATGTTGGACTCGGTCTTCCGCTGCAGGGATCTCAGGTCCTGGTCATGCTGCTCCAAGGACCGCTGGTGGTCCTGTTCCATAGATAACATCCTACAAATAGACAGTATATAGTGTATAAGCTGTGTACATGTACATTTTGTCCTATGAAAATGATTGTCATTGTTTCAACTGATGAAATACTCACTTCCCATCCAAATTCCTTATTACACTACAGTTTGCTCAAGTCCATCGTCACCAATGTTGATGGACGATATATTCATTCGCATTTCATTATAAAACTTTTTTCAAGCTCTGTCTTTAATCTCAGGATTTTCATATGTCAATGTAATTCTTTGCTGATTTCTAACAAGTCAAATACATGTGGTCTGAGTATGATCTCAGGAAATTAATTTATAACCTTGAACCCTGGTGTGCAGCTTATTCGTCATCTATATAAAAGTTGCATTTATTTAGGATGTTTCACAGAATATGGTTGGATAATGTGAAGCTATTTTACCTTAAATATGTTAAATATAAAGTAATAAGAACTGGTTACATAACACTGACATAACTTAGAGCAATGTCATGTGATCAGTTATTAAATCTCCTTGCATTTATGACGTGTAACTTACTTGTCTTGCTGGGTACGTAACTCAGACTTGAACCTCTCGATTCTAGAGTCCGCCTCCGTCTTCTCCTTTTCCAGATGTGCACGAGATTTCTTGACATTTTCTGTCTCGTTCATCAGTTGCTGGACACGCCCTTCCAACTCCTTTATCACATTTTGCTACAAGTTTACATTATAACCGTATTCAAACATAGTAATCATAGTAAATTTCTATGTGGCATGCAATCCAGCATTCTATACTGTAAATCCAATTATATTTGCGATTGTTTTAAAGATATACTATGCTCAAATTTGATAATCATATAAGAAAATATTGATAATTGCTACACAGTCTCTTTGTGAATATAAAGTAAGTAATCTTTTGACTTCACACAAAGTAGATATGTTTTTAAATTCTACTCACTATAGGTGGTCTCAGTATGAATATAAAGTGTCATTAAAAAACTGGCAGTTTTTTTGGTTTTTTTAAGAGAAGATAATAGGGAACGCAAGTTCCCATACAAAGTTTATTTTATCAAATTACACATATTCTATGAATTTCATAGAGTTCAATAAATTTCTATGATTAAAATAAATTATTCAATGATGTCATTCTACAGACAGACAGAGTGACAGCAGGACAAGAGCAAATATATGCATGTACATGACTGTCATTCCCCCTATGTGAGGGCATTAAAACATAAAAAAGTTCTAATCAATATTCTACCTATTAAACTAAGACTTTTACATCTTTACACCAATTAAGGATCTCTGACATACATGTATATACATGTATCTATTCAATGGCTATTACTTACTGTGGATGTCGTCTGCTGACTGTATTCCCGCTCCATTTTCTGCAGACGGGCATTTGTGTCATCTAAGATTTCCTGTATATTTTTTGTATGTTGTTTCTGCATCTCAAATTTCTCCTGCTCAAATTCTGACACGATATCATTTATCTAAAAAAATAAGATGGGACCAACACTTTGTGTAATCTGTTACTGTTAAGTTTAGAGTGAACTAAAATATCTTGAATATTCTTTGGTCATTTATATGCAATGATAGGTTTATAGCCATGCAGTTGATTGGAGCACCACACTAAATACCGTATTCCGGTATATACTGGACAAGGCGCTTGAATGATAAAATGCTAAAATCTTGCCCTTTTTTCCAACAGAATGAACTTTAAATGGTCTAATTCATCTTGTCACACCAATTTATGTATGATAATGAATGAAAAATGTAATAAACGGCGAAAAAAAACAACAATATTTGTCTATTTTGTGATCATGATTTCTGCAAGCGTCTAGAGGTACTGCTCCAATGCTGTAATGAGTTAAATCCACAGATTCCAGTCTTGGTTTATTATTTTACCAATATTTGGCAAGGATGGATTGTATGTGCATACATAAGGATCGACTATATACATATTTTTTAAAAAGATAAAAGAGCATCTTGCATTGTCACAGAAGTCACCTTTTTAAATGTATCACTTGAAATATTTGCAGGATAATTACAGGCTTCAAAATATTCACTGACTTTGACCAATTCTTTTCTAAAAACATCATCATCTGAAGTAATACGCCTATAGCGTTTAGCTTGACTAAATGGAATACCTTTTTTGCAAGAAAAAGGGTGACATGATGAAAATTCTATATACTGATGACTGTTAGTATCTTTTTCATGAACACAAGTATGCAGGGTACCATCATCACAGTTTATATGTCCCTATATTAACAGTTGTTTGGAAATATAAACCAAGCCACAAGTACATTTCTCTTAAGGTTGATTTTGCTCAAATTATCTTGAGGCATGCAGCTTTAACTATATGATAAGGAATCAATTTCTTGCATATCAGACAGGATTATCTTCCATTTACACCGGTCCTAGAAAAACCTGTCTTACACCCCCCATGTAAGACAAGTCGCATGCTTTAAATGACATCATTGCCGCACGCCTTTTATGAACGAATTGCATTCTTAAAATGATGTCATTTTACCATTATGAATGAATTTGTAAGTTCATACATTACTATAAGAAACAAGAGCCCGGTTTGAGCCGGGTGATGCTCCCCGAATAGGTTTTGGACACAGGAAAGTACACCTCTTGTAGTTTCAGAGTTATGTGCGTGGAAAAAGTTCAAAGTGCAATAATTCCAAAATTAGGCAAGGCTGTTACAGTTCTTTGCACTGCACTTCTAATCAATGTGATCTATCAACCTACAAAGTTTCTTGATGATATCTCTTATGATTTCCGAGTTATGTCCTGGACAATTCAAAAAGTAAAAATAAACAAAGGGCAATAACTCCAGAATTAGGCAAGGTAGAGTTATGATTCTTGTGCACTGCACATCTACCCATTGAGATTTATCTACCTACAAAGTTTCATGTTGATATCTCTTATAGTTTTACAGCTATGTCTTGGACAAGATTTTTCTAAAAGGGGAGATTATTCAAAAATAAGGCTTAACAGAGTTATGGTTATTTTGCAGTGCACATCTATCCATTGAGATCTATTCACCTACAAAGTTTCATGTTGATACCTCTTATAGTTTTAGAGTTATGCCCCGGACAAGATTTTTCTACAAGGGGAGATAATACAAAAACCGGGCAAAATAGAGTTATGGTTCTTTGACACTGCACTCCCCCTCAATGCCCTCTACCACTGTATGAAGTTTCAACAAATTATCTCCAAGGGTTTTCAAGTTATGTTCCGGACAAAGTTCAAAGTATTAAAATAAACAAAGGGCAATAACTCCAAAATTAGGACAAAAAGAGTTATTGTTCTTATGCACTGCACATCTACCCATTGAAATCTATTCACCTACAAAGTTTCATGTTGATATCTCTTATAGTTTTAGAGTTATGCCCCGGACAAGATTTTTCTATAAGGGGAGATATTTCAAAAACCGGGGAAAATAGAGTTATGGTTCTTTGACACTGCACTCCCCCTTGATGCCCTCTACCACTGTATGAAGTTTCAACAAATTATCTCCAAGGGTTTTCAAGTTATGTTCCGGACAAAGTTCAAAGTATTAAAATTAACAAAGGGCAATAACTTCAAAATTAGGACAAAAAGAGTTATTGTTCTTACGCACTGCACATATACCCATTGAGATCTATTCACCTACAAAGTTTCATGTTGATATCTCTTATAGTTTTAGAGTTATGCCCCGGACAAGATTTTTCTATAAGGGGAGATAATTCAAAAACCGGGCAAAATAGAGTTATGGTTCTTTGACACTGCACTCCCCCTCGATGCCCTCTACCACTGTATGAAGTTTCAACAAATTATCTCCAAGGGTTTTCAAGTTATGCTCCGGACAAGACAACGGACGGACAGACGGACGGACGGACGGACAGACGGACAAGGCGCCGACTATATGCTCCCCCGAAATTTTTCGGGGAGCATAAAAAGTGCCTAATGAGAATATCAGTTTTCATCATTTCTGTTCTGAAAATAATTGACATGTAAAATGAGAAAAAAAGAATCAAGCATCGGCTGTCGGTACAAACAGAAATATCTAGATCTCGGGTTAACTGTTTAGCGGAAACTCGGCAGAGCCTCTTTACCGTTGTAAACAGATACCCTCGAGCTAGATATTCTGGTCTGTACCCACAGCCAATGTAAGATAATAAGAGCTTTATATGTAGATATATCTATATTCCTTAACATTACGGAAACCACAAGTGATTAGCCTTGGCCAGCAGTAAAAATTCAGGTCAGCTTACAAATCCATGCTCTTTTACCAGGCTCTATACTATCAGGTAAACTGCTAAAGACTAAATGACATATGGCTGTGTGTATTAGGCATTAAACATAAATATACCTTCTTCTCAAATTCCTGTCTTTTGGTAGTGTTAGTTTCCTCCAGTAAATTTTTTATGTCAGATATCTGCCTATCTTTAGTATCCTGCATTTGTTGACTTTCCTTTAGTAAATTCTGGACTGTAAAATATCAAATAAACATTTAAATTGGGATATCAGCACCCGTATATAATAATACTGATAATTTTTATGTTACAAATTAAAGTAAGGAGGAATTATTCCAAACTATTGACAATTACTTTGTAAAGCAGATTTTTAGTTTGAGTGTATTATCATTAACATAGCACTGCTCAATTTCTCATATGCAATAAATCTTACTTTTCTTGTCCATTTTTGACATGTGTTCTTCCATGTCTTTCATTTTATTTCTATGCTGAACTTTGACATCTTCTATCTCTGCATTTTTACGGTCAAGTATCTAAAAATAAAAAGCATCAGTTTTTAAACTAGTAAAAAAAACTTATAAGACATTACAAAAGTCATGTAGCCTAGAAAATGGCATTACAAAATGACATAATTTTACTAACAATGTGACAAATATAGCCCTTACTTCATAATAGCTACAATCTTTATCAACTTTTATCCATATAAAATGAGTTTGCTGCTCTGAATGTGTGCAACAACCCTGGGTTCCAGTCTTGTCGATTTTTTATGTGCTTTTGTTTGGCAAATCAACATTAATACTATCAAAAACACAAACAAGTACAAAATAGCATGTGTGTTATGAATAAGCAAAAAAAAAACTATCCATGCCTGAATCCCAAGCTAGAGTGCAGCTTAAACAGGGAAAAAGAATAAAATGATAAATGATCTGCACATGCAGTTTCTCCATGTTCTGATAACAAAGTTGTTTTTCTCCTAAATTTGCCAGATGTGTGAGTTTATTCATAAATATTCTAAATATATTTTTCAATCACCTTTACATATCCTTCTTCTCTAAAAAAAATGCCAACTTCTCCTAAGAAATAATTTTGTTTCTGTTTGGTTTTACCTCATACCATCACATTATAGATCATATGGCAACTTTCAAGTCTTACTGGTGGAGGAAGACCTTAGATGCCCTCCCATACATTATTTCAGACAAAAGTGGGCACTTGAGTAGTACCAGCAATGCTGCATAAGCCAGCTGGATAGCTTCATCAAACAAATGACTTTATTTAAGCAAGTGAAAAGCAATGTTTGAAAAGGATATTACACTTTAGGTTTGAAAATCTTGTTCTACGGCAAAATGTTACAGAAAGTGAAAGCCGAGCCACTGTAATGCTCTTCTTGCCGTTTTAACTTGACCAACAGCTTATACTTTGAAGACTAAAGAAGCCAGGTCACATTTCTAAGTAAGTATTCATCTTACAAACTGCTTTGTAAAGTAATACAAAAACCTTACTTTCTGTACGGCAGCATCATGCTTTTGTTGTAGTCGAAGTTTTTCTTCATGAAATTTTGCTTCAACCATTTTGACTTTCATATCACCTCCCTGCAAAAAAGACCAACAAGAACCGGTTGAACCGGGTGATGCTCCCCGAGAAGGTTCTGGACACAGGAAAGTATAAAAAAAAATGAACAAAGGGCAATAACTCCAAAATTAGACCAGGCTTTGTTTAGGTTCTTTAAGCATTGCAGTTCTATCCAATTATATCTAGCTACCTACAAAGTTTCATGTTGATATCTCTAATAGTTTTAAAGTAATGTCAAGGACAAAAGTCAAAAAGTAAAAATAAACAAAGGGCAATTACTTCAAAATAAGGCAAGGCAGAGTAATGATTTTTAAGCACTGCACTTCCACCCAATGAGACCTATCTATCTACAAAATTTCATGTTGATATCTCTTATAATTTTAGAGTAATGTCCCAGACAAAGTTCAAAGTGTCAAAATGAACAAAGGGCAATAACTCCAAAAGTAGGCAAGACAGTGTTACAGTTCTTGTGTACTGCAAACTTTCTCAATGAGATCTATCTACCTACAAAGTTTCATGTTGATATCTCTTATACATTTAGAGTTATGTCCCGGACAAAGTTAAAAGTGTAAAAATGAACAAAGGGGGATAATTAAAAAATTAGGCAAGGTAGAGTTATGGTTCTTGTGCACTGCACTTCTACTCAATGAGATCTATCTACCTACAAAGTTTCATGTTGATACCTCTTATACTTTTAGAGTTATGTCCCGGACAAAGTTCAAAGTGTAAAATAAACAAAGGGGGATAATTCAAAAATTAGGCAAGGCAGTTACGGTTCTTGTGCACTGCACTTCTTCTCAATGAGATCTATCTACCTACAAAGTTTCATGTTGATACCTCTTATACTTTTAGAGTTATGTCCCGGACAAAGTTCAAAGTGTAAAATAAACAAAGGGGGATAATTAATAAAATAAGGCAAGGCAGAGTTACGGTTCTTGAGCACTGCACTTCTACTCAATGAGATCTATCTAACTACAATGTTTCATGTTGATACCTCTTATACTTTTAGAGTTATGCCCCGGACAAATTTCAAAGTGTAAAATAAACAAAGGGGGATAATTCAAAAATTAGGCAAGGCAGAGTTACGGTTCTTGTGCACTGCACACCTACTCAATGAGATCTATCTACCTACAAAGTTGCATGTTGATACATCGTTTAGTGTTAGAGTTATGTCCCAGACAAAGTTCAAAGTGTGAAATAAACAAAGGGGGATGATTAAAAAAATAGGCAAAGCAGAGTTAAGGTTCTTGAGCACTGCACACCTACTCAATAAGATCTATCTACAAAGTTTCATGTTGATACCTCTTATAGTTTTAGAGTAATGTCCCGGACAAATTTCAAAGAGTAAAATAAGGAAAGGGGGATAACTCAAAAATAAGGCAAGGCAGAGTTACGGTTCTTGTGCACTGCAGACCTGCTCAATGCTACAACGTTTCATGTTGATACCTCTTATACTTTTAGAGTTATGTCCCGGACAAAGTTCAAAGTGTAAAATAATTAAAGGGGGATAATTCAAAAATTAGGCAAGGCAGAGTTACGGTTCTTGTGCACTGCACTTCTACTCAATGAGATCTATCTACCTACAAAGTTTCATGTTGATACCTCTTATACTTTTAGAGTTATGTCCCGGACAAAGTTCAAAGTGTAAAAATAAACAAAGGGGAATAATTCAAAAATTAGGCAAGGCAGAGTTACAGTTCTTGTGCACTGCACTTCTACTCAATGAGATCTATCTACCTACAAAGTTTCATGTTGATACCTCTTGTTGTTACAAAGTTATGTCCCGGACAAGAAAAGGGGACGGACGGACGGACGGACGGACGGACGGACGGACGGAAAGACGGACGGACGGACGGACGGACAAGGCGGCGACTATATGCTCCCCCGAAATTTTTTCGGGGAGCATAAAAATGTATGAATGGATGCTCCCTTAAAGTATGATAACCTATTTTTTACAACAATGACCTTGACCCAAATGACATATTTTAACAACAATGACCTTGACCAAAATGACCTTAAACCAGACAAATCTGAATCTAAGTTGGACAAATCTTTAAATATTTTAATGCAAATTTTTTTTAAGTGTTCCATATTTCTAAGAAATAACATGATATGGGAAGCAAATACATAAATAGAAATCACTAAGATTAGATATAATGTTGACACTTTGTGATCTAAAGGTTGAAAGTAGACACCCACCTCTTTACTGCTTTTTGGAGGTAAGGTTGTATCATCAGCATATGTTATACCTGAAACAGTGATATGAAATCATTACTATAAAATAGTATGTGTGTAATCAAATATCTACCTGGGTGTTCACTTGACCGTTGAAATGACTCTTTGACCCTTCAAATTTCCAAAAGGCCATATTTGACCCTCAGGATTTTAACTGTAGGGTCAAATTTTGCTAAAATCATGTGGATTTGGCCTTGTAGTCGGTAAAACAAGCAAAATGACCCTCAGGATTTCATGGCTATTGAGCACCACCCTTGGATAACTAAGATTCGTTAAGCTACAAATTCTCAAGTTTTATACACTTAAATTCTACTTACTCAAACCTCATGTTGACAGAAATGACTCATTTAATGAATTGTACTTGCAGGTGAATATAATAACTCTTTCTTGTTTTGGCATAATAAAAATCTTTCAAGTCTTTGGGACTTTTACTAAAATGGTTTCAAATCAAGGTCAGGCTCAAATCTAGGACTCCTGATACACAATACTTATTGGGTAATCACATTTTCAATCCATTTGATACTAGCACTGACAATAATTTGCTTTTGCTACTAGTATAGAGGCAGCTTGCCTGCTTATTTGATATCATGACATCAAATCCCTTGCACTAAACAGGATCAGTCCATTATTATATAAATTTAACATGGTACAGGTTAAAACATAAACCACTAAATATTTGGTCAGATTCAATATCATCCTATGTGAAAAGATTCAATATCATCCATAATCATCAGTCCTTATATGCCAATCACTAATTATAGGAATATAAAGTATATCACATGTATTGAAAATGAAATTATCTTCACTTCAGCAGTATTTTCAGTTCTACAGTGCAACTATCACAACAATTCACCAGATTGCTATTATTACAGGGTGTAATGAGCATGTTTGATAAGTGACTTTTTAATAGGTGGGTTAATTTGTACTGCAATCAAATAATGTACATACCTTTGAGATATGGGTTAGAACTGGTAGATGAGCCTGCAGTGGCTTCTGACCACCCTGTTGTCTACAAGAGTAAAATAAACCAGTATAGAATTTCACAGGTATCATATATGTATATCAAAACTATATAACAATGTAAATAGCAATGATTGTGGTATTCAAATAAAGGTTGATCAAGGACAGAATGACTCACTGATTCAAACAAACAAAATAACATGAAAGTAAATAAACAAGGCACCACAAACCCTAGAAATTTCATGACAAATTCTTTGAGATTAATATCAATGCTCAGAAAAAAAGATTATTAAAGGGAAGTATTCTAAACAGTTAAATAACATTTATCAATTCAGAAATATATTATCATTAATTAAGACACACATGGATTTGAACCGTAACAACAACTGCAATTAACTATGGATGGGAGAGGTAGCCTAGTGATTAGGCCTTTGAGTCTCAGTAAAAATATTATAAAATTTATTGACAGTAAAGATATTAAGTTTCCATAACCTTATGGTCAATTCTCAAAACAATTGTAACAGTATGTTTTTGTTATTTAACACCCATGAATATAACAAGAAAACAGAATAAAATGTTTCGGAACAAAATATTATGCTCCATCTTTTAAGTAGGATTTTAACTGTTGAGCAATAATTTTGGGCATGCACCATTGGTTTTAAGGAAATATACTAACATTTTTTCTTTCATTCAGGCATTTCAGAAGCATTCTTTTTCTTCATAATTCAAACAAGAATGTTTGCAGCAGATATATAGCTTTATACACTTTATAAGTACAATTAAGCAGCAAAGAGAGAGTTAGAAATAAGTTAGATGCACACACGACCTACCTCCACCTTGGATGTGAAATCTGGGGATCTGCTGCCTTTACCATCTATCAAAAACATGCAAAGCTCTTTACAACACATAAACACATACAAAAAAGTACAAGTATTCATAACAGTGGTTGCTCATGCTTTTACTCACTAAAATGAAGAATACTAGTGCTATCAAATTCATTATTTAAATCCAACAGAAAATTGTTAAAGGTAATATAATACAAATATCAAATAATTTCAACAATCTTTTTTTCTATTTTCCATTACTGAAGGAATTCAAATAATCAAATAAGAAAAATTTGAAAACTTTGTTTAAAGACTTATAATAGGCAAACTTGTTTACAAATTCTTTTCATTTTTCTTTTTTCTTTCAGTTACTTTATAAGGCTATTGCAAAAGGATTTTTTATGAAACAGACCTCTTCTTTTAAGCTTAAGTCCCCCAATCACACTGTCCTCCTCATCAGAATGGTAATTAAATCCTGATCGAGGTTTCTTTTTTGTGTTGACAAAACTCAAATCATCCTAAGTTCAGAGAAAACAAATGTTTAGCTTCTACATGTATTTGTAATTCCTAATTTTATCACATATCAGTGTGCCCTATAATTAAATCTGACGTCATTTGCGTTATGCAAATATAGTGTTAAGAGGTGCTAAATGAAAGTGTTACACTATAAACGCATCAATGAAAAAGAGATTCTATTTACTGTTCATAATTTTGGATATGTGATAAAAAGAATATTATATTTGTGTACGCTCATTACCAAATTTATTGAACTTGTTGAATTAAGAAGAGAGCATAATATAATTTTATTCAACTCTTTCAACTAGACCTGCCACTGTGATGGCATGAATACCCCCCACATACCACTTTGTCAGGATCAACAGTGGCCATTTAGAGCTCATTAGGACAACCATCCTGCAAAATCTGAGGTTACTAAGCCAGTGCATTGCTAAGTTATGTATTCTACTTGCTTCAAATGTGAAAATGTCAAAATCAATACACTGCTGACAGGCATTCTTAAGCATTTCAGCAGACAAACTTATTATAGTAAAAATACCTGTGACCTTGACCTTTGACACATTCAACAAAAAATCAATAGGGGCCATCTACTAGTCATAAACAACCTCAATATCAAATATGAAAACTGTTGACCAAAGCATTCTTAAGCAATTGAGGGGAAAAGCTTTTTGAATCAAGGTTCCTGTGACCTTGACTTTTGACCCAGTGACCTCAAAATCAATAGGGGTCACCTAATGGTTATGATCAATCACCATGCCAAATATGAAGACTTTGGGTCAAAGGTTTCTTAAGTTATTGGGCGGCAAACTTTTTGAATCAAAACCCCTATGACCTTGACCTTTGACCCAGTGACCTCAAATTCTATAGGGGTCACCTACTAATCATGACTAACCTCCATGCCAAATATGAAGACTGTGGGTCAAAAGAATCTTAAGTTATTGGGCGGACAAGCTTTTTTTAGTCAAGGCCCCTGTGACCTTGAACTTTGACCCAGTGACCTCAAAATCAATAGGGGTCATCTACTAATCATGACTAACCTCTATGGCGAACATGAAGACTGTCCGTCAAAGGTTTCGTAAGTTATTGCGCGGACAAACTTTTTTAAGTCAAAGTCCCTGTGACCTTGACTTTTGACCCAGTGACCCAAAAACCAATAGGGGTCATCTACTTATCATGACTAACCTCCATGCCAAATATGAAGACTGTGGGTCAAAGGATTCTTAAATTATTGGGCGGACAAGCTTTTTACAGTCAAGGCCCCTGTGACCTTGACCTTTGACCCAGTGACCTCAAAATCAAAAGGGATCATCTACTTATCATGACTAACCTCCATGCCAAATATGAAGACGGTTGGTCAAAAAAATCTTAAGTTATTGAGTGGACAAGCTTTTTATAGTCAAAGCCCCTGTGACCTTGACCTTTGACCCAGTGACCTCAAAATCAATACGGGTCATCTACTAGTCATGACTAACCTCCATGCCAAATATGAAGACTGTGGGTCAAAGGAATCTTAAGTTACTGGGCTGACAAGGAAAAACTGACGGATGGCCAGACAAGCTGATTCCAGTTTACCCCCCTTACAACTTTGTTGTGCGGGGGTATAATAAAATCAGTACTGAACCTACACTCATTCAATATCCTCTATGTATTCTTAACACTTTACTTAGAAACATTGCCATACACTCCTCACCATTTTTGGGTGCCAGAGGGACAATAATAACAGACCTTTGCTACAAGCTAAGTGAATATGCATGCAATCTGATAAGCTTTATATGACTATTTATCTATTATTTATTCCAGCACTTTTAAGTGTTGAAAATTGAGTAACACTCAAGCCAGTGCTAGGGGTGTGAAGGATGTTGCACTTTTTCATTATCCCTCATGATTAGACTCAATCAAACCGATTTTGCAATTTTCATGTAATTTTGTTGTGAAAAATGCTTCCCAGAGATCACAATTTGGCAGATTTTTATACCTTTGGTGACTAAGTTTAAGTATCTTTGAAACTAAATTCCGTAATTTAACTATTTACGAAATGTTCCAATTCAAAGTAGGGCATGTCCATTATACAAATTTAGCACTGTTTGGAGTTTGGAGTAAAAGAGATAGACATATAATAAACATCATATATAGGACTTACTTATTACCAAAATTTGTACATGAAAGAACAAGCTTACCCTTGATAGAAAATCAAATAAACCAAATTTCAAAAGTTAAACTGCCGCAACTACATTTGAGCCGCATCATGACAAAACCAACGTAATGCGTTTGCAACCAGCATGGATCCAGACCAGCCTGCACATCCGCGCAGTCTGATCAGGATCCATGCTGTTCACTTACAAACCTTATTTAAAGTAGAGAAACTGATAGAGAACAGCATGGATCCTGATCAGACTGCACAGATGCGCAGGCTGGTCTGGATCCATGCTGGTCGCAAACGCATTACATTGGTTTTGTTGTGACGCGGCTCATTTATGCTGTCTGACCAGTTTCTATAACACTATTGGTTGCTCGATTTGACTTTTTAAAATAAAAAAAAAAAATTATGGACAGCCTCAAATTCAAAAACAAGAGGGCCATGATGGCCCTGAGATCGCTCACCTGTATGTAGGCCCCCCCCCCCCCCCCACAACGTTGCAGGGCCAATTTTAACCCAAGGGCTTTTATTTGCACAAACTTGGTAGACACCCATAAGAAGATGTTTCATGCTAAACATCTATGCTCTAGCTCATTGGGCTTTTTAAAAGAAGATTTTTTTAAAGTTTTTACTATACACATATAGTTAAAAACAATGACACCCCTGGGGCGGGGCCAATTTTGACCCCAGGGCTTTTATTTGAACAAACTTGGTAGACACTTATTATAACATGTTTCATGCCAAATATCTTAGCTTTAACTCTTTGGGTTCTTTAAAAGAAGATTTTTTACTATATGCATATAGGGAAAATCAATGACCCCCTGGGGCGGGGCCAATTTTGACCCTATTAGAACATGTTTGATGCTCAATATCTTAGCCATAGCTCTTTGAGTTCTTTAAAAGAAGATTTTTAAGTTTTTACTATATGCATATAGGAAAAATCAATGACCCCCCGGGGCGGGGCCAATTTTGACCCCAGGGCTTTTATTTGAACAAACTTGGTAGACACCCATTAGAACATGTTTCATGCTAAATATCTTAGCTCTAGCTCTTTGGGTTCTTTAAAAGAAGATTTTTTAAGTTTTTACTATATGCATATAGGGAAAATCAATGACCCCCCGGGGCGGGGCCAATTTTGACCCCAGGGCTTTTATTTGAACAAACTTGGTAGAAACACACTAGAAGATGTTTCATGCCAAATATCTAAGCTCTAGCTCTTATGGTTTTTTAAAAGAAGATATTTAAAGTTTTTTCTTTCGGTTGCCATGGCAACCAGAGTTCTGCATGGAATTAAATTCTTTGAACAATTTTTAAAGGTGACCACCAAAGGAACATTCCTGTGAAGTTTGGATGAAATTGGCTTAGTGGTTTATGAGGAGATGTCATTTAAAGTAAAAGTTTACGGACGGACGGACGACGGACGGACGGACGACGGACGGACGGACGCCGGACGAAAAGCGATCACAAAAGCTCACCCTGTCAGTTTGTGACAGGTGAGCTAATAAGTAAAATTGTGAAAGGGTTAAACACTGGAAAGATAGAAATCAGAAACATATAAAAGAACATAAAGATAATGTTAGAAACAGCATTCCATCACCAACAACACAGCTGTTTAAACACATAGAATCAGTAAGTCAACCTGAGTATATATAATTTAAAAGCTTATAAAAATAACACAAAATGAATGTATCTACATTTTAATCAATTCATACCAATGGTGGATAATGTTCAATGCCACCTGTTTATGATTTATTGATCATAAATATAATATCAAGCAAGTAACATAAATGGGAGCAAACTTGCACTTCAGATAATGGTCATATGGTGACTTTCAAGCTTTACTGGTGGAGCAAGTTCCCATGTGTGGGTCCGCGCATTATTTCAGGCATAAACAGGCACTTGTGCAGAACCAGAGATGTTCCATAAGCTAGCTGAAAAGCTAACTCTTTTGAAAAAACCAAAGTTCCAAGCAGAATTTGAACAAAAAGCAGTGAGGGGTATGTGGTTTGAAGTCAAAGACCATAACCACTTTGCCCCAGATGCTACTCAATCTGATTGGAATACAACTCATTGCAGTAAGTGATATAAGTTTTCTGTCACAAGGTTACTCTCCAGCTTAACTGGAAGAGGAAGACCTAAGGTGCCTACCTCATGCATCATTTTAGGCACTAGCTGGTACCCAAGCTGACCCACCAACCTTCCGTAAGTTAGTTGGGTAACTTCCTCACATGAAAGAATCATAAGCATATGGCAAGAAATATTCACCACAGAAGTGAAGGGCAAGTCATTGGCAGTCAACAAATGACCCCTTAACATTACATAACAATGACTGGCACAAAATGTAAAATTTCTTGATAAAGGTAAATAAGAAGTAAGTATATAAACCATGTACTAAGTATTTACTCACATAGGCATATGGAGCAGTGTCTGGTCGACTATGATAATCTTTTCGGGGAGAAGAAGAGGCAAGTATGTCCTTCTCTGTATCTATACCCAGTGCTGTATGCGGTCTGAAAATGCAACCAGTGTCATATCCCTTAGAATATCTCGAATATCTTAAATAATCATATGTTATTGTAAAGAAAGAAAACCCAAGATAAAAGTGGAAGTCTGTGGTATTAAATATCAGTCAGTAAATGAATTTGCTAAATTAAAGGTAAGTAAAATGTGTAACTGCAGTCCTAACTAATGGGTTTTTGAGTGGCTTCTTTTTCAGACTGTACTTTAAGCCATAAATACATTTATAAGTTATATACAATATTTTATAACCCTGATAAAGACTTGTGAGAGTCAAAACATTGATTAACATCATTAAATAAAATTTTTAACTTTTGCTGAGTTGATTGTTTGTTTCACTTGTATCATTTTTCTTAATATTTTAAGCCATAAAGGAAAAATTTCTAGCCCCGCAACTATATCATCCAATGAAAAGTTTCGAAAAAACCAGCGTATACTGACATGATCTACATAAATTTGGAATATGTGGTTGGATTTCTAGTTTCAATCTGGATATGTTAACATTACCTCCTAATAGGTGAGCCAGGGGGAGACAATCCAGATCTCCATGTAGAATGTGCCGCTGGATTCCCAATGGTGGATCTGAACAGAGAGCTCCCAGCTGTTGTTGTTAATTCACCATTTACCCAATCTGGAACCTGATTTGTCTGAAATATAGTACAAAATATTGTCTTTTCCTCAAGTCTTTATGAAAAATATAAGTAATATCATTATTATTTACCAAACATATATAGTGCCTTTTCGTAGGTGCTTTACAATGATATAAATTGATTACTAAATAACAAACAGTATCATAAAAAGAGTACATGATATTACTTCAATTCTGCACATTCTGACGTATTTTAACTTATAATATGAGCAAGAACAAAAATATCTAACAATTTACAATGTAGATAAAAAAAATATTGACTAAAACAGTAACGTATTTTCTATATACATGTATATCAACATGATATCAATGATACATCAAAAATTCAAAGCTCTTAAAACATTTTTAGTTAAAAACAGAAAAGCTCTTATTATAAAAGCTCTTATGGTCAAACACAAGTTTAACCTTTTCTTTCCAAGTATGGGAACAGTTATTAATAATAAACTAATAAACTAGAACTATCATTAAATGTGATTAATACCCCCCCCCCCCCCCCCCCCCGCAAGACTGCTTCAAAAATGAGGAAATAACTTGTATGTATGTTGCATTTCCTTTCAATGTGGTTGACCATTGATGAAGTTTATTGAATTACTCTGTAATAAGTACAAAAAGAGTTACGCTTCGTGAGCACTGCACTTCCCCTCCCCTCATTGCGCTTGACCATTAAATGAAGTTTTATTGAATTCTAAACATTAGCTTTTAAGTTATGCACCTGACCAAAAAAAGGAACAAAGGGCAATAACTCTACGAATCCTGAAGATAGAGTTACGGTTATTGTACACTGCACTTCATCTTACTGCCCTTGACCATTGTATGAAGTTGTTTCGAATTGCAACCATCAATTTTCAAGTTATGTTTGTTTGTTTGTTTGTTTGTTTCATTTTACGTCTTTTCCCAACAGTATTTCAGTCATATAGGCAGGTTTCCTAACCATCGTTCCTGGAGAGTTACACCAGTACTAGACATCCTTCCTCCGTGCTAAACTACCAAAGCATTTCAAGTTATGCACTGGACAATAAAGTAACAAAGGGCAAAAACTCTTAAATGAGTCAAGAAAAAGTTATCGTTTCTGTGCACTGCGCTTTCTCTCAATATACTTGACGATTGTATGAAATTGTATTGAATTAGTAGTTTTCGACAAGAAAAAAGCAATGTAAAAGTAACAAAGGGCAATAACTCAATAATTACTCTGGACAGAGTTATGGTTCTTGTGCACTGCACTTTCACTTATTGTGCTTGACCATTGTATGAAGTTGTATTGAATTCAAACCATTAGTCTTCAAGTTATGCTCCGGACAAGGAAAATGCAAGGGACCTCTGGACCGACCGACCGACCGACCACCGAGTGACTCCTTTATACCCCCCTAAACTTTGTTTCTGGGGTATAATAAATTATGGATCAAACATTATTGTTTTTACATATAAATTCTGGATCAAACGTTATTTTCTACAAAATAAGTTGAGTAAAACATAATTGCTATCTAGATGTATCAGCTTGGAATATAAATATATGTAAGTTAAAATACATGCTATCTAGATGTATCAGCTTGGAATATAAATATATGTAAGTTAAAAAACATGTAGACAGTAACCTTTTACTAGGAAAATATTATAAATAAAGTTTTACTAGGAAAATATTATAATAAAACATTCATAAAGCAAATAACACATGATCATGAGATTGTCTCATGTACAGCTGAACTTTGCTTTTCACGCTGAACTAGAAAACTGTTATAACAGCTTGAGTACTTTTTTTTGCCTTATTTAACAAAACTTGCGCTGATTTACTAACATTTATGTATCTATGATGTTGGTTAGCCAATTTGGATATTGGAATCTTTTTAAACTTTGATGCTTCAATTTCAAAACAAGACAAGTCTGTTAAACTATTTATGGACTGGTCCATGATTTTAAAACTATTTATGGCCTGATCGATGACTTTAAACTATTTATGGCCTGATTCATGCCTTTAAACTATTTATGGCCTGATTCATGACTTTAAACTATTTATGGCTTGGTCCACAACTTATAACTATGTATGGACTGGTTCATGACTTTAAACTATTTATGGCTTTGTCCACGACTTTTAACTATGTATGGACTGGTCATGGACTTTCAACTATTTATGGCCTGATCCATTACTTTAAACTATTTATGGCCTGGTCCATGATTTAATTTAAACTATTTATGGTCTGGTCCATGACCTTTAACTATTTTTGTGCTGGTCCAGTACTTTAAACTATCTATGGACTGGTCCAGTACTTTAAACTATTTATGGCCTGGTCCATGACTTCAAACTATTTATGGCCTGGTCCATGACTTTAAACTTTTATGTGCTTGTCCATGACTTTAAACTATTTATGGCCTGGTCCATGACTTTAAACTATTTATGGACTGGTCTACGACTTTAAACTATTTATGGACTGGTCTATTACTTTAAACTATTTATGGCCTGGTCCATGACTTTAAACTATTTATGGACTGGTCTACGACTTTAAACTATTTATGGACTGGTCCTTGACTTTAAACTATATATGCACTGGTCCATGACTTTAAACTATTTATGGACTGGTCCATGACTTTAAACTTTTATGCGCTGGTCCATGACTTTAAACTTTTTACGGACTGGTCCACAACTTTAAACTATTTATGGACTGGTCTACGACTTTAAACTATTTATGATCTTGAAACCAGATGGGTTCAAAACTGGACTAGGCAGGTCTTGACATGTGGTTCATTTGTATTCTTCCATTTCAACCAGTTTATCTATGGTCTGGTCCAAAGTCAACGATGAGCAATTTCATGTCAAAAATCAAGCAGGGTATTTGTTAGGACTTGGTTAAAATAACTGCAAACTTAATTATGGTTAGGTCAGGCTAGTTAAACATCAAACAAAGACATTCAATTAACATAATATTATTACACTATAATTATATATAATTCATAATTTTTTCCCCTGTAATACCTTATGAAACACTTTTTTTTTAAAAAGATATCAATTTACTTTAGTAAGTTCAAGATATAAAAAAAATTAAAGAAAAAGATAAAAAAGTGAGAATATCATGGGGATGTACAGTAGTCTCTGGTATTTAATAGTAACAATTAAATGGACTGTATTTTTTGTTTTGTTTTTTGTAAAAAAATAAAAACAATTATTTTAAGACACAATGCTCATTTAAATACCATAATCCATGTCATATAAATAGTTCTGCTATGATTTTTTTTTACAGGCACAAGCAGGCACTAAAGTAGAACCTCTAACCTGTAAAACTACAATCTGGCTGACTCCCTCACATTAATAATTCCAAATCACTGGAGGGATTTGAACCAAAGGCAGTGAGGGGTAAGTATTACAAGTCAATGACATTAACACCTCAATCTGAATCACAAAGGGCCTTGGAAAACCAGACTGCTTGAGACAAAACTTATTACTGATTAATGTTTATATATAAAATATATAATATTATTTATATATATAAAAGAAAGAAAGTCATGTGCGGGAAATTATACATAGTAAAATCGCAAGACAATGCGGCATGTAACAGCCAGGTCTCGAACCATGGATATATATACATAATGTATATATCTTTATACATATGACAAAAACTTCACACTGTGATATGCAAACAAAGCATTACTTTACCTCGCTAAAGCTCTTCTATGTTTGAATAAACAGAAAACCAAAACATTAAATCATTTAATCTCTATATTTAGCAGGGTAAAGGGTGAAAATGTGAATGTTATTCAGGTCTAGGCTTTTAATAAAATGCTTAAAGTGCTTACTACTTCACTATAACTACCAATATCATGATAATATAATATAAAATTTCTACTCATGCAAAAGTTATTTATGGGCAGACTTTTACAATTCATGCAAAGGTTATTTCAGGGCAAACTTTTACAAATATATGCAAAGGTTATTTCTGGGCAGACTTTTACAATACATCGTCATGCAAAAGTTATCTCAGGGCAGAGTATATATTTGTTAATTTAAATGACTAAACAAACCAGAGGCATTATCAGCTATATAGAAATACAAAATGGGTCAAAGACAGAAAAGGCCGGGTTGCAGTTGTATACCAAATGTCATGAGGCTGTGATGTTAGAAAAATTTACATGTGCAACCCGGCCAAAAATTACTTTATGCTATTGAATTTTTTTAATACTGCAATCAAGTTTCTCTTATTTTGATTGGCTGATTCTCTTTATTAAAACCCACGAAAAAGATGTAAGAAAATTAATACATTAAGCAAACGGACAGCCATTTCGCTTCCTTTGTAAATCACAGGGACAAGACACGGTGATCTGGTATATGTATGTATATTGAAAATTGTGAAATGGTGTCATTTTATTGTTGTAATACTGTGAATTCAATTAAGTTTGTGGGCATGAAATTTTGTGGTTGTGTCTCATAGATGTTAATTTTGTGGACTGTATTTTTCCACAAGGTAAATGGAAAAAATGTGATGCAAAATAATCCTACAGCAGACTTAATGAAAAATTTTCGTTGGATTTTAAATTTGATGATTGACTTATCCACAAAAGCACGAAAATTAATTGACCATGAATAATAATGATTTTGCAATGATAACTAAATGTGGAAATTGACTTTAATTTGTAATTTTTTTTTGGTTGTAGCAGGGACTTGGGAGTAAGGGGGTAACACTCTGGGGTGGGGTAGTACCAGATCACAGCGTCTTGTCCTTGTGGTGAAAATTAGAAATATACTTATCAAATGGGCCAAAAAGTTTTTAATATCTCAGCATACAACACCAGTAAAACAAATATTACTGTAAGATATGCATTAAGAGTCCCAAAAGAAAGCACATTTTATTTATTTCTTATATTTTTCAAACAAAGTATTTGAACTGAATTTTTGCAGGATGAAATGTTTCAACATTAAATTTTTCATTCACAATTTGCATAGCCCTAGACTTAGTAAAGAATTTGCAGTATCATAGATTTATTATATAAGATGCTGGTTGAACTACTAGTAGGTATGCAAGAGACCAAGATCTATATTGACCTTTGTATATTTCTGCAGTCTATACATGTACATAAAATCTTTTTTAAAGAGTATATTGCTACCTTAGTGCAATAACAGGTTAAGTCCTTCTAAATAAATAGGAGTTATTCAGTTACTGCACTAAGGTAACGATATATATCTGTATTACCCAACCAGCATCCTGTACATCTGTATAACTAATATTCTATACATTTCCCTAATAATAAATTTACATCACTTTATAATAATATACAGTATGTTAGATCTGAGACAATATAAAATTTACCTCTGCCTGGTCTTCCAAATAAATAGACTGTAAATACAAACCCATGCAATGTTATTGTTAAAACAACTAACAATTTTAAAAATCTGTCATGCAAATTCTGTTTAAACTACAGGGGATTTTCTTTAAAATTTTAAGTTAAAAATCTTCAGGATTCTTCAGAATTCAATTTTTTTTTCATTTGATGTTACTTCATGTTTATTTGTTATCTTTAACGTTAAAAGTTCTAAAGCCTTAGAGTGCAAGCAGTAATAACCAATCCTAACTTCATCATACACTCCATGAAAACTGAGTGCGAACAATAACAAAACTCCACTGTGATTCAAAAGCCTAAAAACTTAAAATTTGAAATTCTTAAAAACATTAACCTGGGAACTTAAAATAGAAAAATATGCAAGATGGAATATGAAATACGCTTAGAACTAGATCTAAAATCCATTTTGTATGATTTTTCAGCTGATTTGAGTTAAAAGTGTTTAAGTGCTTGTTATTTTAGGGTCATTTTGCACAATAAAAATATTCTTCTGGAAAAACCAAGTGGGCAAATCATCTGGAAGTTTGCAAAACCAATTAATGCTCCAGATCTATATTAAACTGTATACAAATCTGAAAACAATGTCCAGTCCCATTATGTCCAAAACCTCAGTGGAGTCCCTTTAATTTTCTAAAACATCTTCATCATGGTCACCTGCCTTTTGATGACATCATATTTCAATTATCAACAACTAATCTATAATTATAAGCTAGGTTTTCTATTTAGAGAAACAAGACGATTTTACATGTATAGCACTTTACATGTATAGCACTGTAATTGTAAAATAAAATATAAACAGGGGCAGATAATTTGTGATCACTTATATAAGGTGATAACTGCAAACAAACTGCAAAGAACTGGGCATTTCAGTTGTCAAGACTACATGTAAAAACAGCAAGTGCACAATCTAAATATAGCACCATTCACAAAATTGTACACACCATGTAGGCTGGAAGCGTAGATAGAGGCCCGTCTTGTGGCTTACTGGTAAACGGTCCCTCTAAAACCCCTCTCTTCAACATGTGTAACATTAACTGTCCATACATATTTCTGTTCTTCCTAAAAAATAAATATTCATTGATCAAATATTCTTATTTTCAAACCCTTTTCGTCATTAAATCTACAGTAACTATAGCTATGATAAGATGAGCTGTATTTTCCACAGATTTGTAAATTCTCTGTGAAATGGTGAAGAATGTGGCAGAAATAAATCATTTTATAGTCTTTCTTTAAGATTCATGAAATTTTTAATAAAATCTGTACTAAAGATAACATCTTTAATTTGTAATGAAATCATTTATGGAGTGTCAGTGACAAACAAATGCCGGATCCCCATCACAAATTTATTGACAAGTAACTAAGTTATGTTTAGATGAATTACCTGAAATTTTAAAATTAAGACTTTTGAAGTCACAGTCAAAGTCATATTTTGACAAGGTCTTGTTCACTGTTCAGTGGTTTATTGTGTCTTAGTATTAATGCATAAGCTGAGAAGATAAATGGTAAAGGCAAAGGTCAAGGTTATCCACAAAGAGATGGACAAACTGCCTGCCAGACATGACAAAATATGCTATCCCAATCCATGGACTATTAAGGGTCGAGGTTAAGAGCATGAAAAACAATATTTGAGTTAAGGTTAAAGCTGCACGCCTCCAGATGAGCCAAAATATTTCAAGAAACTCAATATTGAGAAAAATGTACTAAAATTTTAAGAAAGGTAAAAACATTCATGATCCAAGTTATATTTTACATGTTATGTGTTGTTTAAGACTGATTTTGCAGTATTTTATCACCATATTTCTACTGCGTTACTAACGCAGTAAGGGCTGTTTTTGCATATGTTGACCACTTTTTGGTAATTTTCTTGTATTGTAAGTGCCGGCTGCAATATGTAAATTAATATTTTTGTTCCCCTCACAATATTTTACTTTCAAATACATTTATAAAATTTTCATGAAAATTAACATGAATCTGGAGGCGTGCTGCTTTAAAAAAAGAAGAATTTCAAATTTGATGTTTACAGCACTTACCTTCCTGATAAACCAGAAGTAGGCTCACACAGTTTTTTTATCCACACTGCACATTTCTGACGATCTGAAATTAATATTGATTTACATGCTTTGAAATACAACTCTTAATACTTTCTTTATTTGTGGCATTTCGTATAATATACATGTACATGTAACTATAAATGACATATAAACCCCATGTAAAATGATAAATTCTGTTCTATTTCAACATCTTATTAAGCCATTTGATGACAAAAATTACACAGTCATGTATGTTACCATACAATATTATAATTTATTAAATACATACAAAGATACTAAAGGATGTATTGCTAAAGTTTTCTTGATGTGATGTACACTGTATATAATTTTTCATCAAATGATATCTACTTATGTCAGATTAAGACACGTGTTTCTAACATTAAAACAATAATTAGTCTATTATTACTTTTTTACTTTGGTTAAATGTCACAACCATGTAGTTTGTAAAGGTTATATTGCATCTTTCAGCTTCTTAGGTGAGGATCCTTAAATGCATCTTTTAGGGCATAAGTGGGCACCAGAGTATAGCCAATGACCTTTCATAAGCTAGGTAAATAACTTTTTCATAAGAAACACCAAAGGTTTGGGATTTGAACAAGTATATAAGTCCGGAGAAAACACTTACTTCATTAATTAGCTATTTTAACAACAGAGTAATTATAATAATTATAGAGCTGGGGCGAGTATCCGAGTACTCGGATTAAATCACGAATCAAAATGAAAAATTGAGTACGAATATTCGTCAGTCCAGAGATCGTGGATTGCGATCTTATTTGTTTATTATACATTCGCTGTTTTTTACACTTTAAATATAAAAAAAAATCAATTTGTGTATGAATTATGCAACTACCAGGAAGTAAACAAACATTTACCATGATGCTGAGCTAGGAAGTCATTAGTTTCGAAAAAGGAATCACTTTATCTTTATTGAGCACTTCTTTTTAAATGAAAATAAATAAATGTTTTTAGTCGCTATGTATAGATCTATAATGACGTGACATGTATTGAAGACTGTTTTATCTTTAAGAATCCAAAATTTGCGAAATGCAAGTTAATACGTCAGTTTGACATCACATGTATTGGTTGAAAAGGAGTCGCGCCAATATAAAATCCCACCAGCAAAATTTACTTCCAATTTTTGGAAATACTTGTCTTTTCATGTGATTAGACAAGTTCGTTGTACCACCTGTATGAGTCAATTCACCATGGCATGTTTTACAAACTGGTTTTTCCTCATTTTCATTGAAAGTAAATTTTGCTGGTGGAATTTTATATGAAATGATTATTGGCCCGACTGGTTTTCAACCTTTATACCTAGTTTATATTTGCATTGCATAATATTACATGTTTGATGAAATTTATGTTATGTATTGTTTTAAGAAAAATAAACATGTTTTCAGAACTAATGTTCATGTTTTTATGGGTGTCTTGATAACAATAGATTCGTGGTTCGATTTGTGAATCACAAGTGCTGAACCGTGGATCAGTTCGGATCGTCACTTATCCAACGATCCACACCCCTAAATAATTATATATCATAATCTTTATTTGTACCAGTTTTATGAGGCAGCTTCAGCACATGGGGTTTCATCTCTGCCAGGTATCTGTCAAATTCTTGATCAAGTTTTAAATATCCCGAGTCTGTATCCATGATCCTTCTTGTCCTGAAAAGAAAGCAAAATGTCCTTAAACATTTTTTTCATCATTGCAAATATAATATATACTGGGGTTCTGATTGAATATGAAAACTGAAATGGTGCATTAAATGACACATATAAAATGAAATACATAACGTCATAAGATAAAAAATATATCTAACAGACAAAGTTTAGTGCACAGCTCATTGCAACTAGACTGAATAGAAATTAAAACAACCCATCATCATCAGCTTGGAGATATAAAGCAAGTATTTAAACTTATCCACAAAATAGCTTCTCACTTCCCCTCGGAGCGTGCACGTCGCTGAGAAGGCACAGAGCATCGGCAGATGATGGAAGATTCAAGTTATAATCTTTTAAGGCGGCTGTTTCGTTAAGTTAGCTGCCGGTGTCCTGACTAATGCCGAGGGGAGTGGCCCTACAAAGTAGGCTGAGACGACGAGGATGGTGTACTAGGGTGTGTGAGCCCCTAGTACAGATAGACGGCTTGTAAGGCAGGCCTATAGCTGGCACCAACAGCCCTTTTCAGGGCTAAAAACACCTTTCCTATTGTCACAGGTTACTGTACATTTAGGTTCTCATTGACCGCCGTACAGTGACCTACTTTTTGGCTCAAAATTCATATCTTTGGCTAATACTCCTTGGAAATTGCATGGATGTAAATTATCACCATTTTGTGCTTCAAAATTAACTCTTTAAGGACATGACTGGTGACATGTCCGGGGTCCGTACTCGACAGCGAAAGCTGCATTTTGTGCCCGAGAGGGCGGATGGACCCTCATTAAGCTTTAACTACATACAAACATCCACAAAATAGATGATATTTATTATAAAAAGTTAACGTTCAAAATATCTGTTATAAATCACAAAATCTATGGACATATTTATATTTAGTTCAAAAGTTAAGATCATTAAAGTCAATAGACAAAATTCCTTCGCTTATAGAGTTGTAAACTCATGGAACCTACTTCTCAGTGAAAGTTTTATGATTTCCAAGAATGTAAATGAGTTTAAATCAAAATAAGATACTGGCATTATAAACTGAAGACCGATACTGGAGCAGAAAACAAGACACTAGAACTCAAGGGGAATGACAGTTTGTAAGGAACTAATAAAGCTTCCCATACATCACAAGGTATCATTCAAAAAGAATCAAATGTTGCAAACTATAGATAAAAGTGTAGGCTACTGTACAGACTGAACTGTACTCAACTAAAATTGTACAATATATCAGCATTTTAGCATTTAAAAGATTGGGAATGCATATTTTCCTTCATAAATGCGTGAGTGTGTTTCTATTGCAAATGGAATTATAACAAAATAATGATTAAAGTCTTTACTTTATCACCTTTTTATTCTGATGGAAATTTATGAAGAAAATTTATAGCTTGCAAGATCTGACATGTTGTTGGGGGAACTTTATATAGGCGCAGAATCTTTAAAAAGCTTTGATTTATCTCGTCATTCAATGAATGTTGTCTTTTGAAGAACAAAACACATTGTCAATAAAATTATGGATAATGGGCACTTACTTTTTCAGAAAATTGCTATAAAATTTGTTTTCTTTTTTTAAAACGGATGCGCTAGTTGTTTACATCTGATACGCATGCGCACAAGTTACTGTTTTCTTGAGCGTTTTCTAACCATGATTTTATTAGGAAAGGTTCTGATATCTTCGTTTTGATAATGACTGGGAAAACTCCAATTTTTGCATCAACGGTTATTGCTTTAGGTGCACTGACATGGTGGGTTTTTCGGAAAAGAATGAAGAAACGTGTAAAGAAACCTCGTATGAAGTTGTATTGGTTTGACAATTTCCGTTCAAAGCGATGCGAATGGCTTCTTGCTGGTAAGCTTTCAGAGTTGTTTCCCCTCATGCTATTAAAGGGAAGTCACTCTCCGTAGCAAATGATAATTTAATTTCCTGTTGAATTTCTTTAAAAATCAATTGAAAATGGCTCTAAGCTTAGATGACAGGTTACTAGGGGAAAAAGTGGAAAACTATTGTAGCAGCAGTGAAGATGAAGGGGATGATGGAGACCTGGAAAGAGAAAAGTCAAATGCTGAACAAAGGCCCCAGTTTATTCCTGACACTGATATCAAGACAGAGTACAATGGGAGAACAACTAATACAGGCCCAAAAGGTGTGATAAATGATTGGAGAGAATTTAAACGCCTCGAAACCGAACAAAGACAAGAGCAGGAAAAGGAACGACAGCAGTTAATGAAAAAGCTGCAGGTCACTTGCAGGTAACTAGCTTAATTGAAAGGTAGCAAGACACCTCACCCCCCAGACACTTCACCCCTCAAATTTTGAAGACACTTCACCCCTTAAGACACTTCACCCCCCCAAATCAGTAAGACACTTCACCCCTCATCCAATTTTGTTCTATAAAGTAAATAAAACAAGTTGGTCAACAACAAAATGCTTATATATATTTATATTTATTATTTTCAGTGTTATTTAATTAAAAATTTTGCATATTACCTTTATTTTTACTAAGTTTAAAGCTGATTTAGGTTAATTGGTTGTATTGCCAAATGATATATCACAGCACTTTCATCCATTAAGTGTTAATTGCATGTCACCTTGTTTATTCCACATGTTGATTAGTTGTTTATTCAACGGTTATCTCACAATTGATTAGATAATTGAATTAAAATGGTATAATTGTATGAAAATTAAATTTATTCTTAATAAATAAATTAAATAAATAAATAAATAAAATGAATATAAATGAATGAATCAGTTGCTTTATAAAATATAGTAAATATAAATATAAATTATTTATCATCATTATCAGACACAATTATCCTGCATTTAATACAAAGATCATTCATAATGTCATTTATTAAACAAATAAATAGCACCAGTTATGGAAATTAAGCACAAGGTTAAAAGCACAAACCATCACCAAATGAACGTAACTCAATGATTATTTATGGTAAGGATCAAACTGAAATCAAACTTAATTAAGTACCAAAACTTCAAGAATTACATCAACTCAAAATTTATTAGACAATGGCTTAAAACAATAAACATACTTAATCACTATTGAATGTATTTAACATACTCTACATAAATAATTGTTAAACACAAAATAAACAAATGAGGGGTGAAGTGTCTCAATCAAATTTCTTAAAATGAGGGGTGAACTGTCTGAGGGGTGAAGTGTCTGCAAAAAAGGGCCTAGGGTGAAGTGTCTGGGGGGTGAAGTGTCTGTAAGCCAATTGAAATACCGTAATAGGAAGTCACTGCAGACTATAGCCGTATGGGCCTGTCTAGTCACACATGAGTCAAACACAGCTAGCCTATATGCTATGTATAGAATAGATACACAGCATTGTAAATAAAAGACAATGATGAAAGTCTTAATTACTCTTATCTTGCATCTAAAAGTTACATTTTATTACAAAATAAATACATGTTATTTTTCAAATTATTACTTTTACCTGATGTTAGTGGTCATTGTGAATGATGAAGACAAGGAAAGTTTTATAAAAATAAAAGAAATTAACATTAATTTGAAGTAAAAAAAATTAGGTGGTCACTGGTGAGTCAGAGTTAGTCATTAGCTTTCATTATAGTAGCTTAAAAGAACTTTTATGGTTTTATTTGATTGTTTGGTTATGATTTCAGATCACATTTGAATGATGAAGATGAGAAGAAAAAAGATGAGGACTTTATGCAAGAGCTGGATGAGATTGACGAGGAATTTCTGCGACAGTATCGCCAAAAACGTATAGAAGAAATGAGGAGAGCCTATGAGACTACACCTAAATTTGGACAGGTCATTGCATTAGACAAGTCAAGTTTTATAGATGCTATTGACAAAGAAAAACAAGGTGTAAAAATAATTGTGCATGTGTATGAAGATAATGTTGAAGCATGTGAAGCCATGGATGGCTGCCTTAAATGTTTGGCCAAAGAATACCCAAATATAAAATTCTGTAAAATAAAAGCAACAGATGCACATCTTAGTAAGAAGTTTTCAACAAATGGTGTTCCTGCATTGCTTATATATAAGAACGGTGATCTTATTGGCAATTATATTCGCTTGTCGGATGAGTTCGGGGAAGATTTTTATGCAACAGAAGTGGAAAGTTTTCTACAGGAGCATGGAATGCTGCCTCACATAGAAACAAAAGTGATAAGGGACAAGAATACAGGTGAAATTAGAGGTGTTTTGCCTCAAGATGAAGATGATAGTGATTTAGACATAGACTGAAAAAAATCTCATCAGTATTTCTTTATATATTTAACATTAAGAATTGACCGACGACGTCATTTTTGCAACAATACAGTTATTGTTTATTGTAACTTGCTATCAAGTCTTAATGTTTGATGTACATATATTGTGTAGAACACAAATGCAATGTAGTACTATATACCAAAAGTGTTTCACATTTTGTAGAGTAATTTGTTGTTGAAATTGAATGTTGTATCTAGTAATTGTATCAAATTAAAAAGAAGTATAGAAGTAATAAAGATAGAAACAAATATTGTCTCTATTATGAGTTCTTCAAATTATGTCAATTTTAAGCCAGTTTTATATATATATGACTATTCACAGCTCGATCGTGCAACAAGTTCTTGCAAATTATATTAATCGCTTTCAATTCCACTACCTGGAACCAACTAGTACCAATGTCATGAAAAAACATAGCCGTGACCCAGTTATAGCTTGAACCCATGATCTCTGGGTTAAGAGGCAGACACAATAACCATGAGGCCACCACTCTCCCTTATCTATTTTAGCACATATACAGACTTGACAGTTTCTTGTACATTAATATTTATGTTTGGCAATATCAATAAGCAGCCCAAACGTAAACTAAACTCACAAATAAATATTATAGTATTTCATAAAAGGGACTTGTTGCTTTGTTAAACTATTTCAAAGAGTTAAAAAACAATGTTTTGAATATGCACAGTATTGTATTCACTATGTACTTGTCTCTAAATATTTCTTTGGTAAAATTATTGCATGAAAATGAAAAGCCATTGTTTGAAGTGATTAGATGCATTGTATTTATACATCATTTGTAAACAATTATTACTAAGACTATTACAATGTACATGAAATTCAAAGATTGTTTTATCATGTATCCTCGTCTTAGAGATGGGGGCAGTCCCCACAGCTTCCATATCTTAGAAGTGGAGGCATATGGATTTGCCATTGTCCTTAAGTCATGCTGCCCTGTTTTGCATCTGTGTAAAAGTCCTATTTCAGCTTTATTGGTGGAGGAATGCTATTGGTACCCCTTTATACATTATTTAAGGCACAAGTCGGTATTTTAGTAGAACCATCAACCGTCTGTAAGCTAGCTGGATAACTTCCTTATTTGAAAGTCCCTGAATGGATTAAAAACTACAATGTCATCTGGCAAATAAGTTTAAGACAGCAAACTTAACAAATCCTCATGGAGGCCTCTGAAACATATTTTTATCACTCCTCTGTAATAATTTTCTTGGTCAGACACTTTTCTGTGATATTTGCATGAGGTAGAAAACAATGTTGACCATGCGAAGTAAAAATAATTGACCATATAAATTTTTACTGTGTAAGTCAATTTCTTATGATTTTGATATAATATTATCCCACACAGAACTGGGAGCTTTGCAGGATGTTGAGTTTGTGTGTATGAACCCTCGTAATCCTAACCAGGAAGAACTAGCTCAGTATCGTACGATCCAGCCTCACGGGACAGTGCCGTGTTTGGAGATAGAAGGAAAGGAGGCGATCATAGAGTCAGGAGCCATATGTTTGTATCTTGCTGATATCTATGGCAAATTGGGTCCGCAGCAGGACAATGCAGCTTACTATAAGTATGACCATTTACTAGCTTCATGTCTATTTATCCATATATACAAAATGTAAGATTAATGGTTTGTTCAGTTTAATGATATACTAAAAAGTTTTTGCAATAGGCTTGACAACTGACAAATACTAGCTAGTTTACATATTAATCAGTACATAAGAAAAATGTTGTCACAAACATGCACTTTTACCATTTAATGCAAGTAAACATCAAAGATTAAACTAGATTTTTATAGCTTGACCATTCTATTTTTTCACCCTAGTGATGGCATTGAGTTTTCAGCATTGCACTTGGTTATGAAAGTTTGCAGATAGCCACTTGAAATTTCATGCTTGTCTCCAGGTCGCCTGCATCGATAGCATGTATTTTACTGAATTTTTCCCCTTTTTATCAAAGACTTTCTGATTTGTTTGTTTCTTGGAAAATTATTTAAAAATTGGCATAAAACCAACCAAATAACTTCAATTGCTGAAGTTATTCACTTGAAATTTCATACATTTTCATAACTTCAGCTTGAATTTTGAGTAAAGTTGACTTTTAAGTAAAGTGTTGTCAAAATTTATCATTCAGGTTGATGTTTCCTGTACTGTTGACAATATTATGCAGCAATATGCTCAAAGACTTCTTTATTTTCCTTACAGTTGGATAGCATATTGTATAGCAACATTGGACGAGACAATGGAAGCTCTGTTTATACAATGGGTATATACAAAGGCGGAAGATCAAAATGAAGAACTGATTGATAAAAAGCTGCTGAAATTTCATTCATTTGCCAAGTATTTAAGCAAGCATATGAGCAATAGAGATTTCCTTTGCGGCAATAGGTGATATCTCATTATTTTCTGTTGTAATGTTCTTAAAGTAGTCACACTGTAATGCTTTCCCGCCAAAAAAAATCTAACATAGGCCAATATCATAGCAAATAGGTTATTTCTGGAATGTTATTTATTTAAAATATTGGGCATTAGATTACTTCAAATCATTCATCCTTTACCGCTATGTAATAAATACCAGTTATAAACAGTTAAAAATTATTGAATAACTAAGATTATGAAAAAATAACACTCAGGAATTGACAGATTTATTATGATATTGGCAGATGTCAGAAATTTTTTGGCGGGAAAAATATGGCTACCTTAAAATAATTTTATGTAGATGATATTTAGTTCTTTATGTTCGCCTGCTTAAGTCGGTAAGAGAGCAATAGATTAGTAATCCATGGCTAGCTGGTTTGATTCTCCCCCTGGTGAGGAGTAATTTCTCTGTGACAATTGATCTTGAACATTGAATGGTTATTTCTCTCTCACCACTGATTCAGAAATCATGTGTGATTAGTAGTCAGTCACTTGCAGAGAAATTGGTAAATAATGGTAAGTTATACAGAAAAGCTGGCTAGGGGATCATCTGCAAAGATATTACCCAAAAAAAACTGAGTTTAAAATCAACTAAAAACAAAACGCACATAAAAGCAAACAAAACCTAGATGTTCATACCTTTGCACTATGGGTTTAAATTGTTCAGGGTTTTTTTTCCAGGATTTTAGAAACTTTACCCATACCAATAGAATTGGGATTTTTGGCGGTTTTGTTAAAAATTGGGAAAAAATACATGACTGAAATTTTGCAGTAATTAAATGAATGCAAAGAATCACTGTCTAGGATGGCATCTTCAAGCATTTAAGCACTATAACAGTAGAGCCCTAATTTTCAAAGATTTTAAGTTAAAAAAAAAATTTTATTTTGTAACTTTCAATAGGGAATTTTTTCCTGTGGATTGGGAAAATAATAAACTTCAATTGGGAATATGACCAAATATTGGCTATAAACTAAGCCAAAACTAGAACTGTGTCCAAAGGACACGGATGCCCCAACTGACAACATATATATGGTATATAGTGAAAAAATCAACAAAGGGCCATAATTCTGTTAAATTTGGTCGCAGCAAAAATTCCTTCCTTTACTTCCATCTACACATTAAGGTTGTTCATTCCTGGAAGTTTAACCAAATCTGCCATCCAGTTTAAGAGGAGTTGCGTTCACAAAATTTCTATATGGTATATAGTGAAAAAATCAACAAAGGGCCATAATTCTGTTAAATTTGGTCACAGCAAAAATTCCTTCCTTTACTACCATCAACACATTAAGGTTATTCATCCCTGGAAGTTTAAGCAAAATCTGCCATCCGGTTTAAGAGGCGTTGCATTCACATAATTTCTACAAAGTATATAGTGAAAAATCAACAAAGGGCCATAATTCTGTTAAATTTGGTCGCAGCAAAAATTCCTTCCTTTACTACCATCTACACATTAAGGTTGTTCATCCCTGGAAGTTTAAGCAAAATCTGCCATCCGGTTTAAGAGGAGTTGTGTTCACAAGATTTCGGGACGTACGAACTGACGGTCCAACATTTTGGGTTCAGGGGCTATTTTCTTTGTTATTTTCTTTGTTTTCTTAAGGGCTACTAGCCCATAATCCCTTTGATCACAGAATGAACCTATTGTTTTCTTTTGTTCTCTTTACTGTTATATAGCCCCTAAACCCAAAATATTTGCTTGGACGGACGGACAAGTGCAATGCTATATGCCCCCCACTTTGTGGGGGCATAAAAATCCCTGTTGTTTTTTAAGCCAGCCTAGCCTGTCTGCAGACAGTTTTAACTTTTACCATACATGTCAGACCTAGAGATGAAACATGCCTTTGGACAAGAGCTATATTTCTGCTTTATTAGAATAAAAACATAAATTACCCTTATTTTACTTCAAGGTCAGAGTTTTCAAAATATATGAAATTGTATTAATGACACTTGTATTTTGCTCTCTTAAAGAACAAACAGGCTTGGGCATTTCTCCCTTTTTGACCACATTTTATTGCAGTAATAATTTTGATAAAAAATGTTCAGGAAATGATTAGTTAGTATTCAAATTTAACAGATCAACCATATTCACAACTTTAAATGATACAGTACCAGTCTAAAATTTTGTTGTTCTGAATATATATATATATAATATTGGTCATGTTTTATAGGACTGTCTCAAGTACATGTATGTATAAATTATTAATTCCGAATGCTAGGCTTAAGTACTGTTTGTGTAATTATAGATTGAGTGCTGCTGATTGCGTGCTAGGTTATAATTTATGGTGGGCAATGGCGATGAAAGATGGTGTCCTCCTTGAGAAATACCCTGTTTTACAGAACTACTACAGCAGGCTTAGCAGAAGGAGCACGTTTCAAAGAGTTTTCACTGAAAATTCTTGATCATTGATCATTTAATAACCAAATTACTTTTGCAATAGTTTTTATATCGAATATATACCTAAAACTTTTAGATTAGTAAGGTTTGATTTTTAGATTTACAGTGGGATTTTTATTATATTATTCATAAAATTTAAGTTAAGCTTTCAATTAATTTTTGTTCATTTTGCATTGAAAAATATTTTTGTTAATCTGTTGATTGTTATACATGTATATACTTTGAGTCTTGCTGAAATGAATTGCATTTCTGACTGTTTCACAGTGTTAAGCCTTCAGATAAAGTGTTGATTTTGATAAATCTAGATTTTGTATTTATCTTTTTGGAATGTTTTAACAGTTATATAGTTTTTGTTTTCTTTTTATGCTCCCTGTAATTTTGTTTGAACATATGTAGTTGTTAGGTTGTCCTTCCATATTTCCCTCTGTCCTTTTTACTGTTTACCTTAGAACTTGCATTTATTGACTTATATTTTATACATTTGATGTCTTGCCACCTACACTGGACTTTCACTGTTGATTAGGGCTTTGGGTATGAATGAAGGTCATACGGAGATTTTACACCTGGAGGAAGACCTCAGTTGCACTTCTGAGCACAAGCAAGTAAGGCTCCCACGGTTAAACGGATACGTTTCGATTTTCATTCCTAAACGTTTACGATATCTTTTACCGTTTAATCGAAATGACCATATTGTCTTACGGAATATCTTAATCATTGCCTGTAATCACGGCTTTTATCAATTCCAATTGGTTTATTCCAAAGTAAAAATGGAAAATGGGTGTTTACAACCCTCCGAACAGCATCACCGTGCAATAATCGCTTGTGGCATAATACATTTTTGGTAAAGTTGATTTTCCTTTGATCTTTCAAAAGAGCGAAATTGGGACACAATGCAGAAAATGTGTGCCGACACAATCGTGATGAGCCCTGGACATTATTTATTTGTATATGTATTAAAAATAGAAAGTATGTCATCATTTGCCGACTCGAATACATGGTGTAGTATAGTACATAGAAGTACCACCGTTTAAACGGTATCGTTTCGGTTCTTAGCAATCGTGTAAACGTTTACAGAAAATTGTAAACGTGGGAGCCTTACAAGCAAGTACCAGAGTAGAACAACCGAGGTTCTGCAAGCTAGTTAAATAGTTTTCTCACATTACAGAATCACAGCGATGAGGGAAAGTGGATGTGCAATATAAGATATACAATGTAGATTTCTATTTTTTAAATGAAACGGGTCTTCTTTGTTTAATATCACGAAGTGTTGTCTATTGAATATTTTTTACTTTGACATATAAATATTATTACAGAATGCAAATTATGAATTTTCCTATATTTCTATGCCAAATTGAAAATAAAGTAAAACTTGAAAATTTGATTGTTGAGATCTTCTACCATGTTAATTCAAAAACATTTTGTGGTATCCTTTTCAATTTTGTGTTGATGTTTACTGGTATCCTTTTCACCCTTGTATTGATGTCCACATATCACTTGGTAAAGTTTTGCATGCAACTTGATGTTCATTATGCTCAGGAATGTAGTATTTTGGATCATAATTGTAGGTCACTGTTGATTTACTATTATATCCATACAGAATGAATTTTTACTTCACTCTGTTCCTATTTGTGAACTTAGAAAATTCCTTGTTAAAATGTGGCATTTAAGGTTTATAATTAAACTACAAATGGAACTCACTTGAAACAGCACATGACTAATTGTGTCATAGTTGAGACTCCAAATTAAAGGTAACTACCTAATTTAATGATTCAAGCATTGGTATTTAATGAATTTTCCCTTTTTGTGAAATTCTTGCATGGGCCTTGTTTAAGTATCAAGCAATGAGAAAAGAAGGGCGTGTAATTCTACAGCCCCTTTTTAACCCTTAAACTGCTTAATTTGTGTAATGGAATTGCCAAGCTTTGAATTTGGCATACTCCATTAGAAGAATAAAGGATTTCCATATCAAAATACAAAAAAAATGAGCAACCAAAAGTAATGTGGCTGCACTTAAATGCAGGTTGGCCTTGCTTTGAACTCGAGACAAAGGTCATTTTTGTGTCGCCTTGAAATATAGGGGTTACTTTTTTCGGCGTAGGCGTCCCCTTAAGCTTGTATAGAGCATTAGTCAGTAATTATAAGTCGGATTGGCTTCAAACTTGGTATGCATGCTTCTTATAATGACCCGAAGTGCAGTGCACAAGAACCGGTACTCTGCACTTCTTAATTTTTGAGTTATTGCCCTTTGTTAATTTTCATACTTTATTTTTGTCCGGGCCATTTCTCCTAATGTATAAAAGCTATGGACTTGAAACTTCATAGGATGATAGATCTCATTAAGAAGAAGTGCAGTGCACAAGAACCGGTACTCTGCATTTCTTATTTTTTGAGTTATTGCCCTTTGTTAATTTTCATACTTTATTTTTGTCCGGGCCATTTCTCCTAATGTATAAAAGCTATGGACTTGAAACTTCATAGGATGATAGATCTCATTAAGAAGAAGTGCAGTGCACAAGAACCGGTACTCTGCATTTCTTATTTTTTGAGTTATTGCCCTTTGTTAATTTTCATACTTTATTTTTGTCCAGGCCATTTCTCCTAAAGTATAAAAGCTATGGACATGAAACTTCATAGGATGATAGATCTCATTAAGAAGAAGTGCAGTGCACAAGAACCGGTACTCTGCATTTCTTATTTTTTGAGTTATTGCCCTTTGTTAATTTTCATACTTTATTTTTGTCCAGGCCATTTCTCCTAAAGTATAAAAGCTATGGTCTTTAAACTTCATAGGATGATAGATCTCATTAAGAAAAAGTGCAGTGTACAAGAACCGGTACTCTGCACTTCTTATTTTTGAGTTATTACCCTTTATTAATTTTCATACTTTATTTTTGTCCAGGCCATTTCTCATAAATTATAAAAGCTATGGACTTGAAACTTCATAGGATGATAGATCTTATTGATAAGAAGTGCAGTGCATAGAAACTGCTGCTCTGCAACTTATTTTTTGAGTTATTGCCCTTTGTTAATTTTCATATTTCATTTTTGTCCTTGCCATTTCTCATAAACTATATTGTTCACAAGGCGACACATCCGACTCGCGGAGTTTTAAGTTGAATTTACTACGTTAAGAGTTACTAAGAATATGATTCATTCACAGGAGCTTGATAATCTATCATAATTTTAAAAAAATAAGCAAATAATTAAGAAATAACGGCAAATATACCTGTTGCTTATTTTCATATTTGCCGTTAGTTCTTAATTATTTGCTTAAATTTTTCAATTATTGATAGAATGTCGAGCTCCTATGGTTGGTTGATATAGAAATGTTTTACACATTATAATTGCCCAAATAAGCAACTGTGTTTATCTCTAAGTTTAAATAAATGAGCATGGTTCCAAAAGTACAAAAAGTCCATGACCTTTTGAATGTCTTGTTGGATCTGTATTATTGACAACTTCTACAATATTGACATCAAATGTGAGTCCTTAAACCATTTTCACAAGAATAAAAAAGATCTCATGTACCGTCAAGTCTCAGAAAAATAAAATTTGCAAACTCCAAAAATAAACGTCCAGTCAATTCGCGGAGAGTTTCTGGCTTGATGTTTGCGTTACTGATTGAATCGCTTGTCCCGTGCCATCCGGAACTTTTTCAACCTTGTTTGAAGTGCACAATGTGCCGTATTTTTCCTTAAACATTCGTCTAGAAGCTCGTTCACAAAAAATTTGCAATTTAAATTGGAAAAAAAAAACGGATAGGTTGTGGAATTTTCTGTTCTGTGTTTTAACCAAATAACTTTTATAAAGTAAAAAAATGAAATATGTGCGAAACCTTGAGCGAACTTTGCGATTTTGTTTCTTTGACAACACAATAAGCCTTAAATTTCTGTAAATATTTCCAAGACATCGCATATTTCCATTGACATAAATAAACAGACAGGTGATCATAAGCTCTGGAATATTATGTATTTTAAGGAAAACGTACCTTTTTATAATTTTCGTATAGATTTGAAGCCGAAGCCATGCGTGCATTTTGTGATCTTGCATTGCCATATACATGAGCCATTGCACCAGTTTACTTTGTAATTTGACATACCAGATAATAAGTTTGTATTTCAACGGGAATTTCCTTTTATTTTCCGCCTAAAAATAAATTACAGATTGCTTTTTTAATCATCATTAATTTTGATGATTTCATCATCTTTACCTGACCAACTGTTTTTGGTTTTGTTTGTTTGTTTGTTTTTGTTGTTGTTGTTTTTCTTTATTTTTTTTTTCTGGAGGGGTGGGGGGATTTATTACATATTTATAAATGAAATATTGATGAAATAGAATGCGTATTTTCGTGTTCCGTCATTTCATTGTAGAAATTTATTTTTCACTACAGAGAAACATTTTCTTGTCGGCCTACTTATTTTCTAAATTCAGTCAAAACACAAAATTAAAAGAGAATTCTTTCAGATCATAAGATTAAAAAAGAGAAAAGTATATAATAAACAGAAATTTCAGGGTTTTTTCTATTAATACAAATGTACATGACTTATTTTCATCTTGTGGTATAAACATTTTCATATTTCACACGTGGCTAATGCCACACACGAAATTTTAATTTACATACCACTCTTTGAAAATAACTCTGCATTTATAGAAAACACTTGAATATCATCTTTATCTTCAACTGATTACAATACATTGTATTTGATCGATTAGAAGATGTAAAACACGCTCTAAAGGTATTACAGTGTTTATATTTGACATTACTGTCCTTACAAATGTTTTATAACATACAGTCCTAGATAAGACATTGAGTAGCATATGTTGTTGTTTTGATGTCTAGGTTTTTGACATTTATCATCATATGTCCTTGATCATATGACAGAACATATGTTTTAAAACGTCAAATAATTATTTAGCTATAATTGCTACACATATTTTTTTTCTAGTATATCATTTATAATAATATAACGTTTATTAAATATTGAGCTGTGATGGTGATGAAAGTGGTGATGATGGAGAGATGGTGATGGAAGTGGTGATGACAAGTTTGATGGTGGTAGTGATGGCAATAATGATGGTAGCCATGATGATAAAAGAAATGGTGATGATATTCGTCATGGTGACGATCATTGTGTTGTTGCTGGTGATGGTAAGATGTATTGGCGACTATAATGATGTGGTGATGGCGACAATAATGGTGGTAGTGATGGCGATGATGATGGTGGCGATGATGATAAAAGAAATGGTGATGGTATAGGTCATGGTGACGATCATTGTAATGATGCTGGTGATGGAAGTTGTGATGGTAGTGGTGATGGGGAAGATATTGGTGTTGATACTTGTCATGGTGGTATAGTTATGACGACGATAATGGTAGTTTGGATGGCGATGATGATGGTGGTGGTGATGGTAGTGATGGCGTATATGATGGTGGAGGTGGTGGTAGACGTGATAATGGTGTTGATGATAATCATGTTGGTTATGATGGCGACGATGATGGTGATGGTAGTGGTGGTAATGGTAGTGGTGATGGGAAAGATAATGATGTTGATAATGATGATGTAGGTAGTGATGGCGATGATGATGGTGGTGGTAATTGTTGTGTTGATGGCGATGATGATGGTAGTAGTGATGATTATTGTGTCGCCTCTACGGAGTAGTGGCAACATATAGGGATCACTTCTCCTCCGTCTGTCTGTCCGTCTGTCCGAGCAAACATTTGATTATTATGAGCTTCATTCCGTAGTTAAATAAAGAACAAAAACTCATAAAATTCAAATTAAGAGCTATTTTTTTGTTTTTATGAGCTTATTTTGCTAATGGACGTTGGTCCAGGTGGTGTTTATGAGCTGATTTGCCTCATAAACATCAAAAGTTGGTACGTCCGTCCGTCACAAAACTTGTCCGGACTACTTATAAACTACTGGTGCAATTTCATCCAAACTTTACAGGAATGATCAGTACCAAGTCTAGTTGTGCATATTGTCAGCATTTTCCGGTTCAATGATTTTTGTGAGAGTTCTGGCCCTTTAATAATTTTAAAGTTTGTCCGGACTACTTCTCTTATACCACTAATGCAATTTCAATGAAACTTTACAGGATTGATCTGTAGCTCAAGCACTTGCGCATATTGCACGGGTTTTCCGGTTGAATGATTTTTGGCTGAGTTATGGCCCTTTGATAAAAAGGTGTTTTTTTCTGTATGTTGCCAGATACACAAATGCTTGTCCGGACTACTCCTCATAAACTACTGGTGCAATTTCACCCAAACTTTACAGGAATGATCAGTACCAAGTCTAGTTGTGCATATTGTCAGCATTTTCCGGTTCAATGATTTTTGTGAGAGTTATGGCCCTTTAATAATTTTTAATTTTAAAGTTTGTCCGGACTACTTCTCTTATACCACTAATGCAATTTCAATGAAACTTTACAGGATTGATCTGTAGCTCAAGTCCTTGCGCATATTGCACATGTTTTTTGGTTAAATGATTTTTGGCCAAGTTATGGCCCTTTGATAAAAAGGTGTTTTTTTCTGTGTGTTGCCAGATACGCAAAAGCTTGTCCGGACTACTCCTCATAAACTACTGGTGCAATTTTATCCAAACTTTACAGGAATGATCAGTACCAAGTCTAGTTGTGCACTGTCCGTCTGTCACAAAATTTGTCCCAACATGAAATTGGCCATCATGAGGCGACACATGTGATTACTGATCGCTCTTGTGTGTGATGGAGAGGATTATGGGGTTCTTAATTATGATGAAAGTTGAGATGGCAAGGATGATGATGGTAGTGGTAATTGTAGTAGTAATTGTGTTGGTGGTGGTAACTGTAGTGGTGATGGCAACAATAATAGAAGTAGTGATGGTTATGATTATGGTATTGATGATGGCTGTGGTGATGACGAAGGTGATAGTGGTGCTGGTAGTATTGGCGACGATGAGGTTGTGGTGATGGGGATGAAAGTGGTAATGGCTACGATGATTGTGCTGATGATAGTGATGGTGATGACGATGATGCTAGTGGTATTTGTCATGGTAGTAGCGATGGACCATGAAGGTGATGGTAATAGTGATTGCGATGATGATTGTGATGGCAATGATGAAGATTGTGACGATGATGGTGATGATAGTGGTTATAGTGACGATGTGGTAGTGGTGATGGCTACAATGATGGTGTTGATGATAGTGATGGTAGTGGTGATAGTTGTAGTGATGGCGACGAAGTAAGGCGAAGGTGAAGGTATTGATGATTGCAACGATAATGGCGGAGGTGATAGTAGTAGTGATTGCGACGATGATGGCGGAGGTTATAGTAGTAGTGATTGCGACGATGATGGCGGAGGTGATAGTAGTAGTGATTGCGACGATGATGGCAAAGGTGGTAGTAGTAGTGATTGCGACGATGATGGCAGAGGTGATAGTAGTAGTGATTGCGACGATAATGGCGGAGGTGATAGTAGTAGTGATTGCGACGATGATGGTGGAGGTGATACTTGTAGTGATTGCGACGATAATGGCGGAGGTGATAGTAGTATTGATTGCGGCGATGATGGCGGAGGTGATAGTAGTAGTGATTGCGACGATAATGGCCGAGGTGATAGTAGTATTGATTGCGACGATGATGGCGGAGGTGATAGTAGTAGTGATTGCAACGATAATGACGGAGGTGATAGTAGTGGTGATTACGATGATGATGGTGTAGGGGATTGTAGTGGTGATAACGACAATGATGACGAAGGTGATAGTAGTGGTGATTACGACAATGATGGCGGAGGTGATAGTAGTAGTGATTACGACGATGATAGAGAGGTGATAGTAGTAGTGATTACGACGATGATGGTGGAGGTGATAGTAGTAGTGATTGCGACGATGATGGCGGAGGTGATAGTAGTAGTGATTGCGAGGACGGTTGCTAAGGTGATAGTAGTGGTGATTACGACGATGATGGCGGAGGTAATAGTTGTAGTGATTGTGACGATGATAGTGGAGGTTATAGTAGTGGTGATTGCGACAATGATGACGGAGGTGATGTTAGTAGTGATTGTGACGATAATGGCGGAGGTGATAGTAGTAGTGATTGCGACGATGATGGCGGGGGTGATAGTGGTAGTGATTGCGACGATGATGGTGGAGGGGATAGTAGTAGTGATTGCGAGGACGGTGGCTAAGGTGATAGTAGTAGTGATTACGACGATGATGGCGGAGGTGATAGTTGTAGTGATTGCGACGATGATGGTGGAGGTGATAGTAGTAGTGATTGCGACAATGATGACGGAGGTGATGTTAGTAGTGATTGTGACGATAATGGCGGAGGTGATAGAAGTAGTGATTGCGACGATGATGGTGAAGGTTATAGTAGAAGTGATTGCGACAATGATGACGGAGGTGATAGTAGTGGTGATTACGACGATGATGGCGGAGGTGATACTTGTAGTGATTGCGACGATGATGACGGAGGTGATAGTTGTAGTGATGGCGACGATGATAGCGGAGGTGATAGTTGTAGTGATTGCGACGATGATGACAGAGGTGATAGTTGTAGTGATTACGACGATGATGGCGGAGGTGATAGTTGTAGTGATTGCGACGATGATGACGGAGGTGATAGTAGTAGTGATTGCGACGATGATGGCGGAGGTGATAGTTGTAGTGATTACGACGATGATGGCGGAGGTGATAGTTGTAGTGATTACGAAGTAGTGATTGCGACGATGATGACGGAGATGATAGTTGTAGTGATTACGACGATGATGGCGGAGGTGATAGTAGTGGTGATTGCGACGATGATGACGGAGATGATAGTTGTAGTGATTGCAAGGATGGTGGCTAAAGTTATAGTAGTAGTGATTACGAGGATGGTGGCTTAGGTGATAGTAGTGGTGATTGCGAGGATGGTGGCTAAGGTGATAGTAGTGGTGATTACGACGATGATGGCGGAGGTGACTATAGTCGTGATTGTGACAATGATGGCGGAGGTGATAGTTGTAGTGAAGGCGACGATGATAGCGGAGGTAATAGAAATTGTGATTGCGACGATGATGACGGAGATGATAGTTGTAGTGATTTGATGATGATGGCGGAGGTGATAGTTGTAGTGATTACGACGATGATGGCGGAGGTGATAGTAGTGGTGATTACGACGATGATAGCGGAGGTAATAGAAATGGTGATTGCGACGATGATGGTGAGTGCTGATGATTATGGTACTGATGATCGTGATTATTGTGGTGTGATCATTAGTGCTGGTATTGATCTAACACATGTTTCCTGTGTGGAGAAGCTGACAACCGAACCAATGAACCACTCCTTCCCTTATTATATATCATGTATATAGTTATAACTGATGAGTTAGCATACACATGTCTCATGTCATGAGATAGTAAGTGATGAATCAATTGTACACGACTGAAATCTGTCTCTAAAATCAATAAACTTTAATAAGCAAAAAATGATGAAAATTGTATAAATCAAGACAAGTCTGCCTTATGGTTTATACCTGGCGATTCGTACATTAGTTGGCAGTTAACTGTGTATTCTTGGATACCTCGCTTTAAAGAAAGGTAAGCTACAATTCTTTCGTTTCTTTTCCCATTTAACATTTTTGTTAATTGTTTTAATTTATTTACGCATGGGTACATTGAAAACGTTTTTTGTTTTTCCGAAACGATTTATTATAAGTAATTTAAAAATAATAATAATTCCAGGATCTCTGCTTATTTCCTCATGATAAAATTTGCATTTGTTAAAAGCAGCAATGCCTCCAGATTCATGTTAATTTTCATGAAATTTTTAAAAATTTATTTAGATTTGAAATATTGTGAAGCGAACAAAGAAAGTATTTTACCCATTGCAAACGGTACTTATAATCTACGTAAATTACATTCAAAAATACCCCTTACTGCGTTAGTCATTCGGTAGAATTATGGTGATAACTACTACAAAATCGATCATAATTCGCATATAACGTATTAATTAAAAGCTGAGCCTTGGATATTTCCTTTTTGACATTTTTTTCAAGCTTAATTTGAAAAAAGTATTTAAGTTCATCTGGAGGCACGCAGCTATAATTTTGTCACAATCCGAAGTGGCATATTTTCTATTTTCAACCTTGATGCCACTTAAAGTGTATATACATGTATTTGCTGCCTGTTAATTGTTATGCTATATTTTGTAATTGTAATTATAATGATTAAGGTATACCTAGAATAACAGAAAATTGCCCGAATAAAAGGTATTTTATTGAAAGCGTAAAATCATCGCCAAACTACTAAAATAACGGTAGAATATTTTATTCCGAAACAATTTATTCTGTTTACGTACACTGATCATGAATATTAAATTTCATTCTAGGCTACAAATATTTCAAGGTTATGAAAACAACATAATTTTTCTATTTTTAAATTTGTTGATATAATATTTCATCAGATGTACTGTCAAGTAACCAGTTCCGTAAAGGAAAAATACTGGTTTCTTCAATGCCCATGATGCCGTTTTCATTGAAAAATTTCTCACATTTGATTTTATATTGTTAATATAATGCAAGGTATGTCTAGCCATTTGTTGGCAGCTCATTTTCTTATAAATTGCCGGGTTTTTTTTTCTAGAAAAATGCAATTGAATGTGCGGGAACAGGTTCTGTGCCGAAACTGGACAAATGATAGTAGCTTTATATACTTTAAAGCTGGATTGAGAGATACCTTATGGAACGCATACATTTTATAATGCATCGATTTATTCAGTGAAATATATAAAAGCACAAACTATTGTCTCACATATCACATGCATTATGCAAACACTTTAACACTTAAAATGCAACAAAATAGATTTGTATGAATTAAAAACTATAATTTATGCTAAATCAGGATTGCTCTCTAAGCTAAGCCTCGTGGACAAAACCATGTACATTGTTTTAATTAATAATTTTACAAATGTTTTTTAAATAAAAAAGAAAAGAGAACCAATCAAAAACGTTTACATATTTTAGTGGGTGCCCTTTGTAAATAGGTTAACTGTACAAAACCACGTCTTTTCTAAAATATCTTCGCAAGACAATAGATCGATTCTATCAGCATACTATACATAGTGCTGTTGTTTGCCAAAGACAAATTTATAGTTACGTACATCTCATTTAGAAACATATAGCTTTGAGCCGACCGTGGCCGACAAGAAAAGTTGGATCCGAGGGACAGTAAAGGTCCACTATGCATCAGAAATGCTATCATTTTTATTCACAAAACTTTAAATTTTTGGTATCTTGTTTTGTTGTGTTGGCAATTGGTATAATCAAATCGATTAAGTATCTATCTTGTATGGAACTCAAAATCATACTTTGGTTACATTTTGCTACCTTTAATTACGTCACATTACTGCACAGTCAAAGCTACTTTCTTCAGCTGTTTAACATCTCGTATACTCTAAATCCACAATTAAAACATTATTAAACACATGTTTGACAATTTTAAAGATTTTTTTTTTAAAATATGGATTTCTGAGGCATAATGTGCCTTTGATATTTATCCTGATGAAGGCGGAAACCGACACGTTGATATTCAAGCTTTTTCTATCATAAAATGTTTACTATAAAAATATTGTAAAATGGTTTCATCCTTGATCTACATTTATATTACATTGTTCGTAGAAAATGTCAATAGCAAATAATTATTTATATTGATCAGTATCACCAAACTGTTGCATGTAAATGTAAATTATTTATAAAAAATCATACTCATATTTGTCTAAAGATTTATAAGTCTATAATGAACCAGTCAATTATGAGGGGGTAAAGGGGAAATTGAACAATATCTTTCAAGTAAAAAGGGCCGACAAAATCTGATTTTGACTTGTCCTTTATTATGTGAAGCATTTTTAACTTGTCCGTATGATATTTACAAAGTTAATTCTTGAAAATCTTCACTTGTTCGTACATACTTTGGGACAACCTGGACAATATGAAAAATTGATTTTGCCGGCCCTGAAGTTCCCATTTGTCTCCACAATGTAAGAGTCAGTTTTGGTGCCAAAATACCGTGGCCAACTCCAACAATGCGTTGGCATATAGTGGGGGTTGATTTTGGGTTTGTTTTTGTTTTTTGGTTTTTTGTTTGTTTGTTTTGATTTGTTATTTTTTTAGTGGGGATGAGGCAATGATATGAAAAAAATGTAGACAATGTTTTTAAGTGTGTTATAAAAGATAGTGCAAACACAATCTTTTACGTACATAAACATCGGCTAAATCAATCTTCTTACATACGTACCAGTTATTAAAAAAACACTGACAATTTTACAGCTGACTCTCATCACTCGGTGCCCATGGTATCACATATTCTGTTGATTTGTACATAAAGGAAGTCCCTAATAAAAATTTAAAGCAATTGATAATTTAAAATTGTACTGATCAATGACAATATTGCGTATTATCTTTTCAGGACTTGATTTTGTTGGTCATTTAAACGTTTCAACCGATTCGAAAAGAACATGAATAAGTTTATAATGTCATCGGCGGTAAGTATATTTTTAATTTCATAATAAAGGAGAATATCTGCTTATCAACTATTTCGTCCTTACTTTAAAATAGCATATCTCTAGGTTCATGCTGTTTTTCATCAACAGATTTAAAATATACACCTGGAAATAAGTTAAGCACGCCCGGCAGTTTGCCTCAATTTTGACATGACCACAACTGAAATTTTAAATTATATTTGGGCAATGGTACGTAACCATCTGTAGTCAACCTGCAACAACTGCAACAAGCTCTTCACAAAGAATGGCTAAATTTACCTCAAAATCGCATTTGACCCCTTACTGGTAGTATGAGGCTGTCATCCGGAACGTGGCGGTTACTCCCGTTATTAAAAATTTGGCTACATAATGTCATTTTAGGTTAAGTAATCGTCAACATAGACCAAAATATCCACCAGTAAATGTTTTGTAAAACGCTCCAACACCATACTTATAAACACTTACATTTTTGGTAAAAAAAACATCACATTTGCATATGCTTCAATACTTTGGCTGAGAATAAACTAAACTCATAAATTTACTGGTTTATGATTGCTAAATTCGTATCGCTACTTATCAAAGTACTATTTCTTAGCAGGATTAAGTCGTCATCTCATGACTGTGCTTTCAATCACAACCAATTTTAAATTTCCGGATGTGCTTAACTTATTTCCAGGTGTATATATTAAAAGAGTAATTTTATGTCCATTGAACAAAGAAAGTACATATAATTTACACATTGCAATAGGTCAGAATACAACTTATGCAAAAATAAGCTTTACTGCGTTAGTCACGCAGAAGTAATATGGCGAAGGGTACTGCAAAATCGGTCATTAATTGCAAAAAAACATAAATTAATAACTGATTTGTGAATATTTTTACATTTCTTAAAATCTTAGTATATTTTTCTCGTGGTCGATTTTCTTGAAATATTATGACTCATCTGGGGGCATGCAGCTTTAAGTAATTCTGCCAAAAGTGATTAAACAAGTCCAATATGTTTAACCCTTAATCTGCTGGAACCAAAATTGATTGATTGATGCCACAAGTAGGCATAATAAGGGTCTATACTGTTTGTTGATAACTTTAATTTATATTTTTAGATAATGAAACCCTTTGAATGATAAGACTGTCCCAAATTTAAAGCTATGCAAATCAAGTTCTGCCTTCCAAAATTCTATATGCCGTTTTTAACATTTTTTCTCTCTTTTATCTGCTGCGGCATTACGCGTCCTGTCACATTTTATAAACAGGCACACTGAAGACCTTAAGCTAGGACAAATCCATTTTACGTATAAATTCAGCAAGTGAAGAGTTACAATACCACATTCTTTTGCGAATATACATGTATATATAGACAATCAATTTTCCGTTTCAGGTCCTAGTTTTACTCGTAGTATATCTAGAAATCTCAAAAGCAACGCTTTTGAAAAGAAGTCTTAAGAAAGAAGCAAGGTCTTTCAAAACGTCAGCTGAGAAAATAGAGGGATCACCTTTGGATAAGTCCACGAAACGTTCAGTTCAGACTAACAACCCGAATGGAATGCTCGAAGGATACTTCAAATGTGATAACCACACTGAGGTGAATTATTTTTAGAACATTTAAATACATGTACTAATAATGGTCCTTAATCTTTTTATTGGTAAACTACATTTAGATCAGTTATGCAATTACTACTTTTTTTTTAGATCAAAGGGCTGCAAGCTCTGTAGTATTTTCTTATCTTTGCAATCTAATTCGTACTGTATATCTGTATGTATTTTCCTGTATAAGTTTATTTTTATAATAATTCATGTGAACCACACTGAGTCAGATTTTAGACTTTAATACTTTATCCAAGTTTTTATTGATAAACTAAATTTGTCATTGTCAGATTGCTATAAAAAATCATTTAAACATATTTCATTTTTATGTCAGTACAAAACCTCCTTGATTTTTCTGGCAGCAGTTTATAATTATTTTTTATTTCTGACTCTAAGTAGGATCTTACAAAACGTTGTAACCCCTGATCATAATTATGATTAGGACGAATAAAGTTCAAATTAGGCTTTTTATTTCTCAATTTCAGGCATTTTAAATGCCTCATAAGGAGTGAGTATGTTCAAATTAGGCTTTTATGACTCGTAGTTGGGAGTTTTTTTATAGAAGATACAAAAAATATGGCACCAGGAGGCTTCCGTAATTTTAAGACCATTTAGATGTGTATTTCTTTTAGGAAATTCATTAAACCGCCAACTACAAAATATCTAACAATCTTGTAGCACACTGGTGCGTCAAGGTTTGTTTTGAAACTCTTGAAACATGAATGATGTACATACAACAATATGTGTATATTACAGTGCCCAGAGGGTTATGCGTGCTTGCTCCCTGGCTTCGGGGAAGCCAACACAATAGCGGAAATGAAATGCTTCAAGTGTAAGTAGTTAAGTTTTATAAATCTAAACAAATAAAATAAAAACAAACACATTCACATTTCCACGTCTCTTTAATTAATTATTTTATTCACTCTTTATTTTCTAAGCCTCTCGCATTTTCAAACAGTTCTACAGCCTTGAATAAAGCCTTGAAAGACGCTTATCCTTCCAGGCGGAACACCTCGACTGTTATTCATTTTGATCCGAAGTTTGACGGAAAGGGCCGAGTAATTGCGATTGTTAATCTTCCTCTCAGATAAAGCATATGCTTTGTATGAAATGGGTCACTTCTTAAGGGTCCTTCTCGTTTTATTAAGGTTAAAAAAATATGCATGTACACTTTCTATTGTCTGTATATATGAATACGGTAGACTGATATATTAATTTTTTAGGTAACTGTTCTGAACCCAGCCAATGTTATCATAGACGTAATCATAGCAAAACTTGCAAGGGACCAGGCCGATGTAATTATGAACATAAACGTTTGTTTTGTGACTGTTCGGACAACGGATTCACTGGCGAATTTTGCGAAACAAGTAAATATGTTGTTTTTTATTTGTTAATTAAAGAAAACAATCAATAATATCGCTATAATAATTGTGAAAATTGGCATATCTTAAAAAAATTATATACTCGTATTTGCTTGCGTGTCATTTGTTAAATAAGCTAAAGATATATTGTTCAAAAGAAAGTGAGCATATTCCATATATATTGTGATATGAAAATGTTACATGCTTGTAAAATTGATAAATAAAATATGTTTAAACTAAAGTGAGAATGTTCGGCTAAATGTCTATTTTTTATTACTGTTAATAGATATTGATGACTGTGCCACAGACCCCTGTGATAATAATGGAACCTGTGTTGACGGTATTAATAATTATACGTGCACATGTCAACCGGATACTACTGGTAGAAATTGTGAACGTAAGTAAAAATGAACAGGTTGTCAAATCTCAGTAAAACTTTGTTAACAAATTCTATAAGTCACACTTTTAAGTGAATATTCATTCTTCAACTGAAACCTTTATTTAAACATGGGTGATTTTGGTAAGGCCACCAGGCCATATTGATATGAAGTCTTCATAAAAGTTGGATATAAACTTTAACGAAATTTGCCTAGATCTTGTATCTGGATGTCTTTAATAGTCATTAAAGGGTTTAAAAAGTACGTTTATCTTGACAAATTCAAGGGAAATTTGTTGCAACTCTAGATTTTACAGTTTTTATTAAATCTTTTATAAAGTTTTGTCAAAACCTTTGTGTCCAATATGTATATCTGGGGCATTTTTGGTCAAAACGTTTGCCACTAGGTCAAATCAATATAAAATTTGAAAATAGAGATACATTGTTCAAAATCAAACAATTGTGCATATTCAGTTGTCTTCTTTTTATTACTGTCAATAGATATAATTGATGACTGTGCCACAGACCCCTGTGATAATAATGGTACCTGTGTTGACGGTATTAATAATTATACGTGCATATGTCCACCAGATACTACTGGTAGGAATTGTGAACGTAAGTAAAAAATGAACAGGTGGTCAAATCTCAGTAAAACTTTGTTAACAAATTCTATATAAGTCACTTAAATCTTTTATAAACTATTGTCAAAACCTTTGTTTCTAATATGTATTTGGAGCATGTTTAGTCAAAACGTTTGCTAGGGAAAACTTTGTTAACATGCTTACATATCTTATAAGGACTAGTTTGGATGTCCGTAATATTTTTAAGAACCTTATTTTTATGATAAAAGTATACCGACCAAGTTTATAACCTACGTGTTGTAATTTTAGATTTTGTCAATGCTGAAGTAATTGACTGGTGTCGGTGAAACGGTGCTCTCTAGCAACTTCTCAAACAAGTTAGTATGCTCGTTTTGGGTTTACAACTTGATCAGTGACATAGGTCACAGAAAAATCCTGCTCTTCTTTTCGTCTTAGAATTATGCTTGCACAAAAGTAAACATGAGAGGAATCAATACAAAAGCAATCATGTCGCTCTTGTTTAAAAATACTTATCAATTTCTTTTTGAACAGTGACTTGTCCTACTGACTGGATAATGTACATGGGTAGTACCTGTTTATTTTTTAGTACCGACGAAACTACATGGGATGGTGCCAATGTAAGTTTTAAAAGATATGTTCTGTATATACAAACAATACATATATCTTAAAATAATGAAAATGTCATAAACTATATATTACACAGAGGGTAACCTTAAAATGCGCAATACACGTGGAGCAATATCAAGGAAAATTAACTGAGCTTTTAATCTCCCTCCCTTCTCTGCACTGCCGAGTCAATGCCTTGATTTCGCCAAAAGTCAGTATCTGATATGCCAAAGGACCGTTCCGAGTTAAAGCTAAATGATTTAATACTGGTGTAAAAATTACTTTTGAATTACAAACTTCTCGTTGTTTAAATCACCCATCAATTAATAATATAAGAAAGATTTGAATAATCATTGGATAAATGGCGGCATGAGAATAAAATTCACATTAACAAAAAAAATCTATTGATTTAGCACCACTTATCATACTAATCAGATGAACAATATCTCGCTTTATTCTGAGTGGTAAACCATTTCCATAAAGTTTAGTGTAATGTGCAGTTATCATTTATCAAGAGTGTTTTAAGCCGTTACTAAATATAATCAACCATTTGCAGGCAGCCTGTCAAGCGAAAGGTGCCGCTCTAGCTGAAATATATGATGCAGACAAAGATGCCTTTTTCTTGGCTGAAGCGGAAAAAAGGAGCGGTAAGTGTCCTGACATACTTTTTCCCGCCAACTCACTCTCCAACTTCACATAGACTCCTCCCCGTAAAACACTTCGAATGGGAGACCCAGGAATCTTGCTTACGGGATATCATTTATTTAAATTTAACGGCACAGACCAGAACATGGATCGAGGGTAGCCGTTTCCCGATGTCATATACAGGTATTAAAGGGATGACATGATGGGACTGAAAATACCATATGATGTGAGTTTAGACCACTAATCTTTGTGCAACATTTCAGATCATTTGCGCACTTAGTTTTTCCGGAATAATTATTCAAATTGTAAAAAAATGACTCAAAATGAAAAGCGTTTAAACGCTTTTCACTCAAATCTAGCAAAGAAAAGCATAAAAATACGTTTTTTCAATTTATTTCAAAGTATATTTTTTAACAATCATTGCATATGTTTCTGTTTAAAGTGCTCCAGCTTATTTATGTAAGACACTCAAATGTTATGTTTAAGGCTTTTAAACCTCAGTTGAGTCCCTTTAAATACTTTATTAACTTGCAATTTTCTCATTTCTCAATGACATTATGATCATATGTAGTCAAAACAGACAAATATCCACTATATATTATAATGCAATCATATGACTGTTTTAGAACATCAAATTGCTATCCATTAATTTTGTTTGCTGGTGTTTTGGTAGATCGCTATTTTTGGCTAGGAGCAACTGACAGGGCTGTTGAAGGCACTTTCGTGTGGAACTCTGGTGCACCGTGGGGCTATACAAATTGGATACCTACGAACCCTGACAACTTTTATAACGAGGATTGTTTACACGCTTACTGGAGACCTAGCCGTATAGGCTGGAATGACTGGAGTTGTAATAATATAGGGGCCTACCTGTGCGAGAAAGAACCTTCTGGTTAGTATCTTCCACTGAATGCGCTTATTTATCTATGTCGTTGAATATCAAGACATTTTTCGCTCGCTGTTAAATGTTGGTCTCTATCATATTTCAATTCAATTTTCGATTTGATACTTAAATATAACAATAGACAGAAACATTTTATAAACGAAATGAAACAAATAATGCTGCAATGTCGGACTTGTTGAAGTTAAGCAACAGTGTGAGATGTAAAATCAAAAAGAACCTTTGTTAGTTTTTAGTTAACATTTAAGATACGACTCCCATAATGGGCACTATAGGGGACTGAAAAATGACAACATAGGAAAGTTACATGCCATTAACCTGTATGCAAACTTACAAAAAAATAACGGACATTTTTTTTAATTAAAGCTCGGGTATTAGAAATGAGAGAACTCTAAGTCATCTGTAATAATATCATTATGAAAAATGTTTTCTACTTCATTATTTTTAAGAAACAAATGATAGCATTCAGCTTACAAAACTCTCTTGAAATCAAAATTATTCTTTCTATTTAAAATGTTTGAAATATGTATAAAAATGTTACAATACCCACATGCATTTTTTATTTTCAAATTACAGAGGCATAAGACACGGACAAGAAGACCTTTGAAAGATTAGACTAAGGAATATGCTGCTTTTCCATCAATGAAACGAAGAAATGAAATGATAATGAGATGATTATAAAACGTGTCTAATAAAAAACATCTTGATTTAAGCTTTATTTTGTTTCTTTATTGCATTTGAGTTGATATAAATGTTCAGTGGTTTACTGAAGAAAAAACACAAACATGGAAACCCACTCAAGATCTAAGAAATTACTGAATTATGGGCTGTTTGTTTTATAGTCCTCATTTTCTGGCCGAAAGCCGTCTAAAATCAGTTATACTTCCTTGAAATTTACAAGGGGGAATAACTGAATATAAAATAGTTTTCATTTACAACTAATTGGCAATTCTAAATTAAATAAGATGTAAAGGATAGTTCTTGCCATTATTAAAAAAATGGGATGTGAAGAATATTTTTAATATAAAATGTACAGGATAGTTCTTTAATTTTCTAGTGAAATTGCCAAGATATTTAAAGTCTGTATGAAAATATTGAGAAACAAACAAAAAAAAACAACAAACTCTTTAGTGTATGATTTATATATTATATAATAATTGCTGTGTTCAATTGATATTATGCCGATAATTTTCATATATTTTTGCATATTAATAAAGCATGTATAAATATAATTGCCTACCGACTGCATAGAGGTTGGTGTTAGAAACTGAGTTTCCTTTCCGAAAATAGTATGTTTTGTTTAATTAAGTTTACATAATTTCCTGCAGTGTTCGATTAGAAGAAAACATGTCAGAATTGTTGCATTGGAAAAAAAATTCCAAAACTGTTACGCTTCTAAGAGGTTCAAATTTGATATTTTTCCTTTTTCAAATTGACAGAGAGTTTTAAGTTTTAACAAGAATATACCGTGAAATAAGAATTAAAGGTTTAATTTTTTTATACTTTTCTCTCCTTGCTAACTAATTCAACTTCATTTTCATTTTATTTACTACTAATTCGTAGCAACATTCAAAATGACAATATCAAAAATAAATCTAGATATCACAATTGTGAAAAACGTATTATCAAATCACATGTATATATGTCAGTTATAAGGACACACGAAAGCAATACTCTTATATCAAGTTATACGAAATTATCTCGTCAAAGTATAACATTGTCATATCCATAAATCATTCAGGAAAGTAAATGGAGTCTGAATAATTTAACGGCGGTTTGCATTCTGGCCACATACAATGTAGTTAAAACACTTGGGAGTGGCTTGCATCTTGTTCACATACTATTTAGGGAGAAGCTTGTACTCTGGCTCCCTCAGAGGTTTGCATCCCCGTCACATACCATTCGGGAAGGAAATTAAACTCCGAGTCCCTCAGCGGTTGGCTTATTATAACCGGTTCATGTGGGCTCCACTTGAGTGTATAGACTATTCTAAAATATTAACAAAATATTTCCAGATTAGTTTTATCGGTACAAATACATGCTTAGCAAATGGATAATATAGAATTACAAACTTTCTACAAATGGTATTATTACATTGGTTATGTTGAATATGAGTTTGTATAAATCTAGATATAAAAATTTACCTGTAGTCATCGTGAGTTATTTTTGATTTGATAGTAGATAAAAACGCGTCCAAGAAATTATAACACACATTCGGTTTCCATGGATCACGGGCATCCTGAAACATTGTAAAAAAAAAGAACTATATAAGATGCACAATTATCTTATCTGATTGAAGTGTATGAGATTAATTCATTGAAAAAGTGACTGCGCCTTGGTCTATGTAAATATGAAATGTTTAATAATTTTACTGTCTAATTTTATCTTAAATGTACCAGCAGACTCCGACTAGAAATCTACATTTGAAACGCTGCTTTAAAGATGAGAAACATTTGAAATCATGACAGAAGATGATCATTGAAACACAAATCTATGCCTCTAGTATTAAGCTAGCCAGTCTGTCGCATGCTCGAGCAGTCGGGCAAGGTCTTTGTTCAATTTGCAACTCAATTTCCATATTGAGATGCCTTAACGTAATGGTAGACAGGGTCAGTTCTATTTTACAAAAGGAGAGGACGATGATAGCACAAAAGTTATCTATGCAGGATATTATTGCTGTATGCATACTTCTTTACTTTTTTTACATGTACATGGCATAAAGCTTTATCTAATGAAACAATTTTTTTTACAAAATTATAAAAAAGGTAAAAATTCATGGAACTGTTATAACCTTATTCTCGAAAAAGTTTTAACACAGAATGACTTTGTTATTTCACACACATAACCATTGCATGTAAACAGACTAAAGTGTTATGGAATAAATAATATGTTGCATGATTTAACTCTGAATAGAGTTTTAACTGTTTAACAATGACGATATTTGCTTTTTACAGAAAACATACGAACATATTTTCTCTATACAGATACTTTGGAAAAACTCTCTTTTTAAAAAATTCAAAATTCAGACAACAAATATATAACTTCAGTGTTGTTGTATTTTTTCTGGTCCTTTGGGATCATAGATGTCAGCACTATTAAGTGTTGAGAATTGAGTACTGCTCGGTGCTAGGGGCGTGAGGGATGTTGCACTTATTCATTGTCCCTGATGTACAGACTCAATCAAACCGAGTCTGCAATTTTCATGTAATTTTGTTGTGATTAAGGCTTCCGAGGGATCACTTTGTTTCCAGATTTTTTATACACTTTAAGAATAAAATATTATTTTATTTTATGTGTGAAAGACATGGCAAGTCAATTTCTCACGTTCTAGTAGACACTAACAATACCAATACCTTTGCAATATCAAGCAGCTTAGGTGTATCGAAAGTATGCAACCTTTTCACACTGCCATTATCATCTTTGAAACCACAAACTATTTCTTTGGTACCTGTCAGATGACTTTGTGCCCACCATTTTTTCGTTTTGTACCTAAATGTTAATTTCAATCGTTAAGAACGAATTCTGATATATCTCCTATAAATTAAATGATTAGTATACGATATTAATATTATATTTTGTCTGATATATATCTTATCTTTGGACACAATATCAAAGTGTAATAAATTATCCATATCTGACGTTATCACTTTTTACTATAGGTAAACTATTTAGCTTTATGGTGAGATATACTTACGCTTGTTACATAATTAAATAAAATCAACCTTTGTATTCCTTGTTATATTGAAATCATCGCAAATTTTGACACAATGCGTTTCAAGAAGTTCCTTAATAAAGTTGCATGCAAACTGATTTTCAAAGTTTCATCAGAAACTATCTTACTTTACACGGTATCGAAGCTAAATAACTACAATAGGTCTGATATTAACAACGTGAAATATCATTTGTCGCAAGAAAAACAAACGCACAAATTCCACTAATCAAACATATTTCTATATTTCTTTAAGTATACTATACGAGTATGTATAGTATCCCTTTGCTATCAAGTATAAACAATACAGTACCAAATATATTTTGGCTAATATGAGGGGGCTTTGAATACAAACTCTTCAAACATCATATACACCATGCGTATGTGTTGATGCATAATAAAGGACATACCTCTGGAAATTCCGGAGATGTCTTTGTTCCATTCTGTAATCCTTAGTTGTTTTAAACTCAACATATGAGTTACCTCTCACTCTATCAACTTTGACAGCGTCTATCTCTCCGGAAAATACTTGAATACAAAACCAATGAACAGTAACATTTGATGTCTTCTGAGTTCATTATTATTTATGTTTTTCTAAGATTTCTAATATTTATGGATATATATAGATGTTTTTTATGAAAATGCAATCAAATAAGATTATAACTTATTAGATCAGTTGAAATCTATTTTCAGCTATCATGTTAAATAAAGCTTTTGATCAAGTTCAATGACTCATTTAGTCCAAAAGAACAATTTTTATTTCTATTCTCAAATTGAGGTTCTGTTTCTAAAACGATACACACTGGCCATATAGCTGGACCAAATATGTTTTAAGTCATTAAAAAGTAAAGATGATTTTTTTTCTATTTTGTATGGAAGACAAAATACGATTTTGCTGACGTTTCGCTACTTTATTTATAAAAAAGCACATTTATACGTAAATAACCTTCTAACTTTCTTTTAATCTGTCATTAAAACACAGCAGAGAAAATATTGTTTTCAGTTTTAGTCATTAAGTCAAACATTTAGAAATATTAAGTTGGTTTAAAACAACGTGTTGGTATTTTACCTTAAAAAATGACTTTTTTTGCTTTTACTTACCACTTTATAAAATCCTTCCACCCGTTGTGTACGGAAATTTTTTGTGGTTTGGTTGCCCCCTCTTTCGGGGATCTTTCAAATAAAAATTTGTTAAAAGTTCTGTAAAAAGAGTAAAATTGTTTCTGCAATTTGTAAAAAACTGTTTTGGCCCAAACCTTTTGAACAAAATTTCTACGTTTTTTAGGGGGTTTAAAAATCCAAAAAAAAAAATCGGGTTTTTTTAATTTTGGGGTTTTTTTTTTTCCCCCCCCCCCCCCACCCGGGGATACCCCCCCCCTTATTTTTTTCCCAAAAGTTTTTTTTTTGGTTTTTTTTTAAAAAAAAATTTTTTTAAAAGTGAAAATATATAAACAACTTGTCATACTAATAATTTGCTACTTAAAAGCATCAATGTCTTTCTTATTTACTAAAGATTTATGAAAACAACTGAAGGCCGACGAAAAAAATACGGAATCATTTAAAGCAATATTATTTACCTGCTGTTAGATATTGCTCAAATTTCCACCCTCGACAGCTTTCTATGTCATCTACTATTTTTCTTTCACTCTCCTTCTTCTCATCGGACTCGACTTCATTCAAATAGTAAGTTCCATTGAAGAGCGTTACAGCTATATACCAGCCTTCACTTTCCTCGTAAGGCGTAAGCAGTAATTTTGTAATCAATCCACGCTGTGTGACAAAATCAGCGTCTAGTCTGCTGTACAGAAATTAGATTTAAAGATAGCTTGAGTGAGATGAAAGCCTGAAGTTTATATGCATCATTCTCGAGTATGGTTTCTGGAACTAGACTGTGCTTGTATTATATGAGAACCATTTCATGACACCAGGATCTCTTAGGTGGGGAGGGCCCGACCCAATTTTCCCAAATAGCACCTTTTTCCCAAAACTTTAAAAAATTTGGTTTTACAATTTTTTTCCGTTGCTTTTTAAAGGGGAATTTGGAGGGCGATTATGGAAAAAAGATTATTATATTATGGGTTTTTTTTTTTTGATTTTTTAAAATCAAACCCAAATTTTAACATGCTGATAAATTTAAACCTCAAAAATTAAAAAGGGTTTAAAAAAAATCCCGCAAAAAAATATAAAAACCCCTACGGTTTTTCTTTGGCAGGCATAGGACAGGGTTTACCCAAAATTGCGTTTTATCAGAAAAATAAATACCTTTCCCCCAGTTTTTTTCTGTTTCCCCAAAAGGCCTTTTTTTCCAATTTCAGGGTTTTATATCCCCGTCCCCTTTCCTTTATATGTCTTGTTTTTAAACCATGATTTTAAAACCCAAAAAATACTTTTTGTAAAATTTGGCGGTTGAAATTTTAATATCTTTGACCTTTCATCTGAGTCGAAAAAATCCCTTTTTTATGTCCAGGGGAATATGACCCATTTCAACCGGGTTTCCAAAATTTGGAGAAGGTTTGTCAAATCACTATTTTCTTTTTTAAACCCCCCCAAAAAAAAGGGTTTCTTTATCTCCACGTACTACAAATCCTTTTGGGATTTTTCCCCGGGTCATTTTCCAGTTTTTTAAATTGTTTTGATCTACTTTTGGGTTTTTTTTCCGTTTTTAAATTAAAAATTAAAACACAAAATATAATTTTTGCCTAAAAATTTTGTTTCCTTAAAAAAAAATTTTATTGTTTCGCCCCGTTTAAAAAGTAATTCCACCTTTTTATGGGGAAAAAAAATGGGAATTTTTGAAAAGGTAGGGGTGTTTTTTTTCCCGAAAAAAAATTTGTTTAAAAAAGGGGGGACCCACTCCCAAAAAACCAAACCCATTTTTTTGGTTTTTTTAAATTTTAAAAAAAAAAGGGAAAACGCCCTTTTGCAAAAAAAACCCTTTTTAATTTTTTTTAAAAAAGGGAAATTAAAATAAAATTAAAAAATTTAAATAAAACACAAGGTTGGAAAAAAAAAGAAACTTTTGAAAAAAAATTAAAAAACCAGTTTTTCTTTTTAAAAAATTTCCGAAAAAAATTTAAACTTTGGTTTTTATTTTGGGGAAAAAAACCCCCCCTTTTTCCCTCCAAAATTGTTTAAAAATGTTTTTTTTTAAAAAGGGTAAAAAGGGAAAGGTTTTTTTAACCCTTAAAAATTTTAAATTTAAAAACCTTCCCTTTTTTTAAAATTTTAAAAAAAAACTTTTAAATAAAAAAAAAGTGGGAAAATAGTTTAAGGGCCCAAAAAAAATTTCGGGTTTTTTTTTAAATTTTTGGTATCCAAATTTCCCTTTTTTGAAAAAAAAAAACAAAGTTTTTAATTAAATTCTTTAAAAAGGAAAATTTTTTATTTGAACAAAAACCCATTAAAATCACATTTTTTTAATTCAAAAAAAATGAGTTTTTTCAAAAAATGGGCCTTGATTGCCTTTTTTCGTCAAAAAAAAAGGGTTTCCGAAAATGAGCAAGAATTCTCTTTTTTAAAAAGAATTTTTGCTATTTTTTAAAGTTTATTTTTAAAGGCCCCTAAAAAAATGTCACCCCAAGCTTATTTCGACAATGATGGAAAATTTCCCGTTTTTTAATGGTTCCATAAAAAAAGGCGAATAAAAAAAGGGTTTTAAAAAACAAAAAAAAGGGATTTTCCCCCTTTTAAAAAAAACATAGGCTGAGGGAACAAAAAGAAAAAAATTTGTATTATTTTTTATGTTTTGGGATATCTTTTTAACCCCAAAAAAATGTTCGGTATGGTTAATTTTACTTTAAAAAATTTATCATATGTAACGATTTCTAAAAGTTAAATTTTTATAGTAATGACTAAAAAGGGGTTTTTTCCCTTTTTTTAAAAAAAAAATTGGGGGTCTTTCGTTGGGGTTAAAAATAATAAAATTTAAAAAATAATTTTAAAAATAAAAATAATTAATAATAATATTAATAATGGTAATGATGATGAAAATTTAATTTAAAATAGAATGAACGTATCAAAACCCATATTTATTATATTTTCCAAAAACCACTACTTTTTTTACTTTATCTTCAATATTGTATTTATTTATCTAAAATTACCTTTTGATTTTCGTTTTTGGGAAATTTTTATAAATCTCATTTCCCAAATTTTTTGTTAAAAATAAAAACCTTTTTAAAATTAAAACCTTTTCTTTTTTTAAAAAAAATTAATAAATTTCCCTTTTTAAACCCCAAAATTTTCGGGATTTACCTAGATTTTTTTTGGGGAAAAAAAGTTGGTTTATATTTTTTAGAAAAACAAAAATTTTAAAATTTAAAATTAAATTTTAAAAAAGGGTTTTTTTTTTCCCACGGGTTAAGATTAATTTTTTTTATTTTTTTTGGATTTTTCATTTAACTTAAACCAGGGGAAAAGTTTTATTTATTTTTTTTACACGCTGACATGATTTAAAAAATATTAAAAAAATGCCGAAAAGTTGATTTAATTTGAAAAGCGAAATTTAATAATAAAAAAGGGCCCATAAAACCACTTTAATTTATTTTCGGGGTTTGGCTGTTTTTTTAAAAACTTTTTTGGTTTCCCAGGGTAAAAATTAATTTAGATAATTTTAATTTGGTATTTGGCTTCAAAAAAACCAGGGTTTGTTTTTTTTTGGTGCAGGTTTCCCCCTGACTACAAAATATTTTGATAAAAAAAATATGCGCCCACTTTTTTGATTAGAATAAAACTTATTGGGGAAAAATCGGGAAAACGGGGAAATTTTAAAAAGATTACCCGTCCCAATTTCACCATTGGTTCAGCCTTCCCTTTTTTGTGAGGGCGGGCTGGTTTTACATTTTCGGGCCTTTTTTGGTTTAAGGGGCCCCGAGTGTCATTATTTTTTAATTTATTTTTTTGTTTTAGTTTTTTCTTTTTTGCCTATTGCTTCCCTTTTTTTTTTTTTTTTCTTACGGGTTTTTTTAAAAAATAATTTTTTTATTTAGGATTAAAAAATGTAAAATTTAAAATATAAATTTAAAAATTGGGGGAAAAAGTTTAAAAAAATATGAATAATTTAAATACATAAACCAAATTTTGTTTTTAAATCGGAGTATTTTTTTCCACTTATACTAAAAAAAAAACATTTTATTGCGTTTAAATATAAAAATATATTAGATTTTTTTAATATTTATTTTTTTCCAGGAAAATTTTCCCGATATTTGACATTTTCCCTAAATTTAATGCCAAATTTCAGTATAAAACCATAGAAAAAAAGATTCCCCAAGAAATTTATACAACCTTTGAATTTTTTAAAAAAAAAAAGGGTATTTGTTCCTTTAAAATAAGGGCCCTTAAAAAATTTATAAAGGAAAAATGCAAAGGGTTGGGCCTTTGGGAAAAGGGACACTTTAAAAGGTTTCATTTTTATTTTAAATAAAAATTTTCAATTGTTATAAAAAAAAATTTTCCCCATTATAAAAACAATTGTTTTTTCGGGAAAGTTGAAGCCAAAAAATTTGAAGTTTTATACAAGAATTAACTATAAA